TTGGCAATTATAGAGCTGCTCCTAGATGAGGGAGCAGATGTAAATGCACAGAGAGGGGAGTATGGGAATGCACTCCAGGCAGCATCATATCAAGGCCATGAGGCTATTACACAGCTGTTCATAGATGAAGGAACAGATGTAAATGCACAGGGAGGGGAGTATGGGAATGCACTCCAGGCAGCATCATACCAAGGCCATGAGGCAATTACACAGCTGCTCATAGATGAGGGAGCAGATGTACAGTGACTCGCTATAAGTCTTGCACCACCTAAAAAATACTATATCTTCCTCAATCTCTGGGGACTAGTTACCATATAAATATGATAATATACAAATATTCTATATACATCTTTGACATGAATATGAGGTCTGGATCTCATCCTCTGCTTCATGTAGGAAAAAGTGAAAAAATGAGGTTTAGAGAGTTTTATCAATACTTCATATGAGGGTCTAAAAAAATGTGAAGAATTAAGTACTTGCTGACTCAAGTATACAGAACTTTGAATGATATCAATTGGATTAGCGGTTGTTGAGATATAGGTGTAAGAAAAGGCTTGTTTTGGGGTAGATGATGAAACAAGGCCCATTCTTACACCTATATCTCAACAACTGCTACTCCAATTGAAATGATTCAAGGTTCTGTATACTTGAGTAGGCTAGTACTATATATTTTTCCAACTCTCACATGAAGTATTTGAAAAACTGTCAAAACCTCATTTTTGATCTACCCAAAACAAGCCCCTTCCTTACACCTATATCTCAACAACCGCTAATCCAATTGATATCATTCAAAGTTCTGTATACTTGAGTCAGCAAGTACTTAATTCTTCACATTTTTCTAGACCCTCATATGAAGTATTGATAAAACTCTCAAAACCTCATTTTTTCACTTTTTCCTACATGAAGCAGAGGATGAGATCCAGACCTCATATTCATGTCAAAGATGTATATAGAATATTTGTATATTATCATATTTATATGGTAACTAGTCCCCGGAGATTGAGGAAGATATAGTATTTTTTAGGTGGTGCAAGACTTATAGTGAGTCACTGTAAATGCACAGGGAGGGAAGTGTGGAAATGCACTCCAGGCAGCATCATACCAAGGCCACGAGGTAATTACAAAGCTGCTCATAGATGAGGGAGCAGATGTAAATGCACAGGGAGGGGAGTATGGAAATGCACTCCAGGCAGCATTGTGTCGGGGCCATGACACAATTACAAAGATGCTCCTAGAGAAGGGAGCAGATATACATGCACAGGGAGGAAAGTATGGAAATGCACTTCAGGCAGCATCATATCGAGGCCAGGAGGAAATTACAAAGCTGTTGCTGATACAGAAAGGAGCAGATGTAAATGCACAGGGAGGGAAGTGTGGAAATGCACTCCAGGCAGCATCATACCAAGGCCATGAGGCAATTGCAAAGCTGCTCATAGATGAGGGAGCAGATGTAAATGCACAGGGAGGGCATTATGGAAATGCACTCCAGGCAGCATCATATCAAGGCCATGGAGCAATTGCAATGCAGCTCATAGAGAATGGAGCAGATGTGCATGCACAGGGAGGAAAGCAATACTTTACCATCCCCCACATAATCCACATGGACTCCACTGGATTCCACTGGCTTCCACTGGCTTCCACTGGACTGGACTGGACTGGACTGCCAATCACAAAACTGGACTCCACTGGACTCTCCCAACACAAAACTGGACTGGACTGGACTGCCACAGACCTAAGTTAATTCAGAATTCCTGAACTTAGATCTCAAAACAAAAAATAAAATTGAAGTACATTTATTAATTAAATTAATTAAATTTACTAGATTCTATGTTACAGAGAGGGGGAGGGAGAAGAAGGAAAAGAAAGGGGAGAGGGAAGAAGGGGGAAGGGAGGAATGGAGGGGGAGGGAGTGGTGTCAGGAAGGGAAAGGGAGGGGGGAGGGAGCAAGGAAGGGGGAAGGGAAAGGGAGGGGGGAAGAGAGGAATGGAGGGGGAGGGAGCAAGGAAAGGGGGAAAGGGGGGAGAGAGTGGGCAGAGGGAGTGGTGAAGAGAGGAGGTAGTGATGGGGGGAGAGAGTGGAGGGGAGGGGTGGTGCTGCTGGGCCCTCGTCGCCTTTCCGCGTTGGCGTTGGCAGTGGTGGGCGCTGTCGCGTATCGTCATGCTCACGTGTCGTCATCGTCGTCGTGTGTCATTGTTGTCGTTGTTGTCGTGTCGTTGTTGTCGCGTGTCGTCGTGCTCACGTGTCATCATGCTCGCGTGTCGTCGTTCTCGCATGTTGTCATCGTTGTCGCGTGCCGCTGCTGGGCGCTCGTCGCCGTTCTGCGTTGGCGTTGGTGGGCGCTCGTTTGTCGTTGTCACATATCGTCATGCTGGCATGTTGTCGTCGTCGTCGTCGTCGCATGTCATTGTGCTCGCGTGTCATCGTCGTCGTTGTTCTCGCACGTCGTTGACCTCGCACGTCGTTGTCGCGTGCCGCTGGCACCTGTCGTGGTGAGAACTGGGCATTGGGGTGGTGGGCATATGTACCCTTGGCCCATGACGTTTCCACATCATGGGCGTTGTCCCTTGTTCTTGGCCCGTCATTCCGCGTTGGCGTGGGCGTTGTTGGCGTGGGCGTGGGCGTGGGCGTTGTTGGCGTGGGCATGGGCGTTGTTGGCATGGGCATGGGCGTTGTTGGCATGGGCATTGTTGGCGTTGGCGGTGGTGGGCGCTCGTTCGTCGTTGTCGCGTATCGTCGTGCTGGCATGTCGTCGTCGGTGTTAGAGGACAGTGGTGGTGGTGGAAGGGAAAGGGATGGTCACGGATGTGTGACCATGCCGCAAACAGGATACGTGACGATATGGCACGCCCTCAAGTAGTCACGTGATCTCACCCCGCAGACTGAACAAAATCATGAATCCTTATTGCAGCTATCACTACCTATACTAATATCTATAACATTACCTTTCCATTCATTGATCAATAGAATTATAAGTCTGTATAGTCTATTTCGCTTTTTTGTAGTACTAATAATAATAAGTAATAAGCAATAATGCACTGGAATCACTGGAATCCACTGGACTCCAGTGGATTCTGACTGGACTCATAGTCCACTGGACTGGGACTGGACTCAGAAAAGTGGCTTGTAGTCCAGTGAGAGTCCAGTGGACTGGACTGGACTGGACTGGACTTGAGTCCAGTGGACTGGGGATTGTGCAAGCCAATTTGGCCTGACAAATGGGCCACTGGACTCCACTGGACTCCACTGGACTCCACTGGACTCCACTGGACTCCACTGGAATCCACATGGATTACGTGGGGGATGGTAAAGACCTCGGAGGAAAGTATGGAAATGCACTCCAGGCAGCATCATATGGGGGCCATGAGGCAATTGCAAAGCTGCTCATAGACAAGGGAGCAGATGTAAATGCACAGGGAGGATATTTTGGAAATGCACTCCAGGCAGCATCATTTCGTGGACATGAGGCAATTGCGGAACTTCTCATAGAGAAGGAAGCAGATGTAAATGCACAGGGAGGACACTTTGGAAATGCACTCCAGGCAGCATCATATGAAGGCCATGAGGCAATTGCAAAGCTGCTCATAGACAAGGGAGCAGATGTAAATCCCCAGGGAGGGGAGTATGGGAATGCACTCCAGGCAGCATTATGTCTAGGCCATGAGGCAATTGCAAAGCTGCTCATAGAGAAGGGAGCAGATGTAAGTACTAGTCAGATGCACCCAGGGTATTAAAGAACAGGTTATTATGTAGGACATGGAATAGTGAAGATTTTATGGAGTATCTGTATGAAATGGAAAGATATCTTGGATGCTTTATCATTATAACTAATGTAAAGGTACAAGCATACATATTTAGTACATTTTGTGTAAACAAACATTGGAATGAAGTTTTGTGACTTAATCAAAGTTTTTGCAATGGTATTACATCAAGGGGGGTCCAGGATTTGAAAATGCCATATAGGGATGGTTAGTTAATCTTTCTGACAGGCACTCAAAAAGAAATTTGACCTCCTATATTTTTCACTCCAAACAGCCTGGAAATGGTCTGAATCAGTCCAAATCATCAACCTTTTTGAACCAGAGATCAAAGGACCAGTATGTTCAATGCAAAGATAGGATTGTGCACCAAAATATATGACACAACTAATAAGATGTCAAGTGATATGTCCTTTAGTTACACTTGATACAGTGAATACAGTGCTTTGCATAATGCTTTGCAGCACAAATTTTTTGAAATTATATTTGGTTGTGTTTGAACTGGACCCAAATTGTCACACTCAGGCCTTTTCCAGACAGGAGCCTTTCATGAAAGGTTTCAAGAGAAATTTTATTCAGTCAGTGTGGCATCTCAAATCTCTGGCTGTGCATGCAATAGTGATGTTGCGGTCAGGTTCTGAACCAAAGTTTGAACCTGATCCTTGCAGGACTGGACCAAGATTTGGTCCGAAATTTGACAGTTAGGGGGAACTGGACTATTTGTCTGGTTCCCAGTTCCTTTTGAGGGGGTGCCATGTGAATGGGTTCAGACCAGTCCAAACTGGGTGCTGAAGTACCAAGTCAGTCATCAGATCAACAATGTTCAAACTCCGTGAACCTACTTCACATCCATACACACATGTTGCACATTCAACACAACATCATCAAAGCCAGTATGGACTCTATGCAAGCCAGCATCACTGCCAAGATAATTGGCCCCTTCATCCATTTCTTGCTCTCATCACATGCACACCTCCAATTTCTTTCAGAATCGATGTTCCAATCACCTGACATGCACAAGATCTATATTCAGTAAATTTCCTCAACTAGTGAGCATGTAGTTCCACATTAATATCACTACATAGTTTCTATCCAGATCTTTCCCCAAGCCCATTTCACTTGGAGTCAGAACCCGAGAGAAATTCATGATGTAAATAAGCACACAAAGTAAGTTCTCACCAACCTTTAGAACTTTCAGACTCATTAACATGGTGCATTTCCCCCAGGTTGGTTAGTGCACCCCTAATGTGTGCTAATGCGAAAATTTTCATGGTGCAAGGTGAGATCTCCCTTGGACTCCCTCCCAATTTTAAATTTTTGCTAATAACCACATGAAGCTAGGCAACACATTTTTCGTGCGGGTGTGATGATGCCATATCTTGTCATTCAAGGTACATTCAACCATGATCTCTTCCGCAGTTTTGCTGACACCCACATGGAGCCAGGCAATGCAGTCTCTTATGTGACAGTGGATCACAATTCAACAGCCTGCTGTGGCTTTTCTTTATTGTATAAAATGGTGAGAACAACACCACATTCACCACCCAAGTCTTCTCCTGACATGTCTGACCTAGGCTGTGCTGTGGTCATGAATGGAAACCTCCTCAACGCCTCTGAGATCATATTCTATAACGATCCAGACAATGAGACACCCATCTCTGGCTCTGGAGCCTCTCCACCAAAACCCTCTGTTCACCCATTCTTCTCTCACAACACCCCTCCCACTCGCATTGTTGTTGGTGCTTGTTGCAGCTCTCATACCTCACATCCTTCTGCTAGGCTTGTTGATCCTGACAACGCCAAGTCCAGTGCTGAGAAGTCTGTGTCACGTGGGAGTGAGGAAAGTGTAATCTGACGCGCTGACAAGATGCATGAACACCAAACAACACACACACACACTAACACCTTAAACACTTATCACCACAGGTACGTGCTCGGTGCTTCGAGTTCGGGTTCGTACGGCAAATAGAATTACCACACTTGTTTTGTTAGAACTTAAGTAGAAGTTCGGGGAAATGATTTTGTATATTTTATATCACTTGTCTAAGTCTAGTAGACCTTTTGGAACAAAAGGTATTGTTTTTACGTGCAGGCACAAGTATAGAATTCGAAACTTAGTAGTCTTCGAAGGGAAATGGCTTTTACTGGGACTGTCTCGGTGTTCTAGGATTGTGTTCTAACTGTATACAAAGAAATGACAAGGAAATTGTGCTTTGTAGACTTTTATAACTCCCTTGAGCTTTTATTATGCCTCTGATTCAGTCCAAACTAGTCTTAAAGACTCTTCAAGCATGCTCACTTGGATTCCTCAGTAATAGTAGAGAGCTCTCTTACTAATTGACAAGACAACCTTGCAAAAGCTTTGTGATCCCCACTTAACATGCTGGTTCCGGGCACACGTTACTTATGTCTGCGAAGAAAAGTCCTTAAATTGATTACAAACTTATCCACTACCTCAGATGCTACTGGGAGTGCGACAGCTGGTCAACACAGGGGTTAATTCCTTCCATTTCAGCCTGCGCGCGTCCTCTTTTTATACTATTCTATGTTTTCTATTTATATTTACATGTCCGTGCGTTGTCTGAGAGGTTGGACAAATTAATACTGACTTTTTAGTAAAGGTTTGAAGTGGCTCAGTTGTGTGTGGCACAACTGAGCTGACTTCTTTTAAGTTTTCATAGTGTTTTCTCTATTGTGGCGACGTGACACATCAGTATTGATGCATATGCGGGAATCACCATAAACGGTTTTCATGATCGGTTCAGCCGAGACGAACGGTCCGCTTAGTGATTTTTCTCTCTATTATTAGATACTATGCCCGGGCCTTGGACCGCACAGCAAATCGTTCATAGTTTTTCTCTTTCGGTAGACTTTGGAATATTTCATGAAGCTTAGTTTTCTTGGGTCAATGATGCCATGATTTGTGATGTGTTGATGCGTGTGATGCATGATGTGCATGATGCATGATGCGTCTCTCCACATGACTTCTTGGATCATGCTTCGTAGCACGTGACCGAATGACTTCTCGTGTCAGGTACTCGGCGAGTTGCTACGCTCGCGCATGTATCTTTAGAATTAATATCTTTTAATCCATAATAAAGTGAGACCCTGGTTTGGTGTAAACTCCAACACCCTGTGCGGGGGTGTTTTTACTTTAGAACACTTGGTAGTGTACTATTTCATGGTAGCGTAGCCTTTTATTAGACTTCGAGTATATTGAAGTGATTCAGTCATGAACCGACCGCAATTCCTACTGCCTAAGGTGTGCACATTTCTCAGATGTAGACTTTAATCAACTAGACCGGGTTGTGTCTAATGATCCTTATGATCAATGTGACTGTATTTCTACTATAGGAGGTTTCATAGGAGAAATTGCTAAAATTCGCATTTTTACAGGTGTATTGTTACACTCCGTATCAGTGCCTCTGTGAATCGCAAGGCAAATAGCAGTGTCAATGGCCACTGAGTCTCCCAGAAGACTGAGAACACCAAGTCTGCCAACAAATTCAATGTGCCTGGAGATGACAACTTGAACAATGCACGAGGATCTGCCACCCTTGGTGGCCGTAGAAGAAATTATATGGTTCATGCTTATTTTGGAACTGATTGCTTTTTTTATGATAAGTTTGTTTGACACAATATGATGAATATAAAATTCCATCACCATACATAGAAATTGAGAGCAACTATTTCATGAAAACAAGGATTCCAGGCTATTCCAAAGTTTTGAGTGCCTATGATTACACATATGTAGCCCTACATATTTGTCACTGTCTCAATTGTTAGTCCAGCCATCGAGGCCTTAGAAAAAAACTCAACCCCATATGGTTATCAAAAATCCTGGACCCCCCTTGTATTACATTTTGAAATCTGATATTGGAAATAATTGGATGCAGCTTGCAGAAGAGTGTAATGTTTCACTATACTGTTTTGTTTTCTAGTGAGTGAAAAGTCCTAACATTAAACCCAAGCATCAGCACTGTTATAATATTGGAGGGCTATATATAAGTAAAGCCAGTCAGAGAAAGTGCATGGTACCAGTATGTTTGACCACCAACTCTGAGGGGGACAGCCCCAATCTTTGTTTTTCTTTTTTTTGGCTTGACTTTATACAAAAAAAGGCATTGACGTAAAAAAAACTGAGGTAATATAAAAACCAAGCATCAGGACTCTCATATCATTGGGAGGGTATAAGTAAAGCAAGTCAGAGGTACATAGCATATCAGTCATTCCAGATCCATACCCATTTCTCCTTCTTCCATCCCTTCCTTCACCCCAGGCATTCATCCATTCATCCCACTTCCAAACAAAACAAAAAACCTTCTCCCACCCAGCCAGCCTATGTCTTCCCCCCCTTCTCCCCATCAAAAAACGCAACCAACTGCCCAATTGGAACCTTCCCCACCGGTTTCGGCATCGGCATCTTCACCTGTAATCCCTCTTGACTTTGCTGGTGCCTCCTTAACAATAAGGGATCCACGAACTTGGTCCCCCCTCCTCCGAGGCCACCGCTTATCATTCCGTCTCCTGTCCCAATGGAGCTGGTACCAGAGGAAAGCCGCTTGGAAGAGCGGGACCTCAACTTCGGCTTTAGCGGCACGGTAGTCCCCATGGTAGGCGTTTGAGTCTGAGGAGGGAGGAGGCTGGCGTACCCATATGCGCTCTGCGCCCTGATCCTCCTCGTGGACGGCGATGGTGACATTGTGGCGGTGGACTTGTAATCGCCACCCCCAGGCCCACCAGGGGATATTGAGTTTGAGGTGGTGGAAGACAGACTCCCATTCGCGTTCCTGAGCTTGATGCCAGAAGATTTGCCAATTGTCTCTTCACCTTCTCTGAATTCACCTGCTCCTTCCTCCTCCTTCTTGTCATCTTCATCGTCCCCTACGGGAGAAACAGAAAAAGACCCCCAATCACACGGGAGTAGGACCGCGGTGTGCCTACCCTTTTCAATAGAGGAGCAGTAGCAGGTGCATCCGTACGGGTATTAGTATTCGCATTGGTATTGGAGGCGGTGGCAAAAAACAAAGAAGCAGCATTCGAAGAAAACTCATCTTCATCAGGCGGCACAGTTATCGGCCCTCCAAGCGCAACGGTGTACTGTTTCCTCGGTGTGGGGCTCACACTCGTTTGTCGTTTACCAGCAGCCGATTTCGGGGGTGGCGGCAATCCTTGTTGTGTTCCTCGTCCTTTTGCTGGTGCGGGCGTCGGGCTGGCCGTTCGATTGGCAGAAGCAGGCACAAACTTGAGTTGAGCAAGCGGGGACGGCGGCCTACCCGTACCGGAAGCCAACGAGGAAAGAGAGGTGGTGGAATATGAAGCACCGGGTAGTGTACCCAGTCCTGACGATGAATGGAGGGGTAGCCCCAAAATGGCTGTTGACAAAGGCCTCATAGCGGAACTAATTGACGAAGGTGGAGAATTACTGGGGGAGAACGTATCTGGCGGAGAAGAATAATCTCCAGCAGGGTACGGTAACCTCGTGCCCAACTCTCTCCTCTTCGAAGTCATCGGCGGCCTCGTCGATTCCCTTGCAGTGGTACTCGATAGCCTGGGATGGTGGATGGGCGTACTGGGTCCTGACGGTGATCCTGTCAAGTGTGTTGCAATGGCAGATGTCGGATGTGAGTGCGTGACGATGGAGGAAGTGGTTTGTGGTGCTACCGATACAGCGGTGGACTGCGTTCTAGGTCCCGCAAAAAGATTATTCAGCGCCGTGGCAATTTTCGCCATCTCCCGACCTAGCTCACCTAATCAGCCTTGGAGCTCAACGACTTCATCTCAGAGGTCATGGATTTCTTCCTTCACATTGTCCGTAGAACCCGCATGTCTTAGCGACTCAGAATCGGATTCCTTCTCCTTCTCCTTCTCTTTTTCCTTTTCCTTCTCCGCTTCCTTATCGACTAACCATCTCTCGACATCGTTCATCCAATCTTCCAAAGCCCTAACGTGGCCCACGGTCCATTTCTCCAGCTTCTCAAAGTGTTTGGCTACCATGAAGAGTGTACCTGGTACGTCTAGCGTTCCTTGGGATGTGAACTGCGTGTACAAAGGTGGAGCTTCGCGAGAAGGGGAAGAAGACAACGTATCCGTTGTGCGCATGGGAGAAGGCGTCAAATTGGGTGGCATATTCAAGAGACTCAGACGAGAAGGGGTAGGCGGGGACGGGGAGGAAGAAGGTACAGGGACACATCGGACAGGTGTTGTTGGAATGTTGAGGTTTACGAATGCTGGATTGTTAAATTTGCCTTGAGCGTTTGCAGGCCACTCTTGCGTTCTTCTTGTTATCCTTATCCCTCGCTTTTGCGTCCAATATGATTTGCTGAGCAGGCGTTAGGCATGAGCCTATTCTTCGCAGCAGACCACCAACTACCACCTGACTCTTTCTGCGAATTAGACGGAGACGGCGGGTTAGGCATAGTCTGAGACCTGGATGGCGGTGGAGGGAGCGACTTTGTGCTCTCCATCATGGACAGCACACGGTCTTCAACGAGCCTCCTCTGTTGAGCCTCCCGCATGAGTATGGCTTCTGCCTCTCTACGACTACGGTCGCGTTCCCTCTCCGCTTCAGCTTCTAGCTCTGCATCGCTTAAAATAGGTGATCGCGGTGCTATGCCCCCCACGAATGTGCCCATCCTTTGAACGAAGCTGGCTGCGAGATGGGAGACGGATGATGAAGGTGATGGGGAACGTTGCTGCCATATCCCTTGGTCGTCCTCCCGGTCGTCGTCGTCGTCTGAGCCATCGTCGGATATGGAGTCTGGATCGATGCCTGATGAACTGTCTGGAAAGAACACGTTTTGTAGTGGCGAGGGTGGACGTGGTGATGGTGACCTCACTCTCGGAGGCTAATAGAAGGATATTGATCAGTGGGATAGTCGCGATCTGATGTTCTCCAAGACATACAATAGAAAGAGAGCCAGCAGGCGAAGTCACCCTTTGTTGCTGTCGTCCATTCAAGCTCTGGCACGGCACTATTACGTGTTGGGTTGTCTGAAAGGTTCCGTTGTTTTGACGTTTGCCAGGGCATACATTTGCTTCAAAGTTCAACCGCACCTGCTCACGTCAGTGAGCTTTACGCACAAAAAAAAGGTTCCACTTCGTACTCACTTGCTCTGGGACGAAGGACGAGGAAATGTTCAAACTGTCACACCTGGGTCACATTCGTCTATGAAGGATGCCATGACATCATAACACCTCATAAGTAGTCGTAACTCCAGGTTGCAGTGTTCTTCGTGCCCAGCGAGGATGCATTGAATACGTCGCTCCGAGTGATATGCGACTGGAGATCATACCAGGGCGAGTTCGTGCTTTATCTCCCCTTCTTCTGGGGTCTGAACCTGTTTTCACTCCAGCTTACTGCGTCGGTGGGCCAAGCGAAGTCCGAGACGACTGTATCAATTGCTCTTCCTTCCTCTTAACGTGCTTTTCGCAAAGGACTCGCCCTATAACGCCGTTTGCGCTACATCTTTCATTCAGGTGTGTAATGTTGTGGCCCACGCAACTAGACCTCCTTGCAGTTATTCCGCAATCAAGCTTCAAGCTTCAAGCTCAACGTTCAACGTCCATCTCCAGCCGCCGTGTCACCTACGTGTAGCAAGCGTGCCCTCGTCCTCGTTGTGGTCCATCCGTGAAACCAAGGAAGCACAGTGTAGTTCAAGGGAACGTTGCGATGGAATGGGTTCTTCGACTAGGATGTGTACGGATCGTTCTAGGCTCTGATGAAGTACAAGTGGGTACTTCTTTTCTCCCCTCTCTTTTTTCTAAAACCCGTTGCTTACACCGGCATACAGACCTAAAAATTCCACCCCGTTCTCATTCTTTCATGCCCTCCTCAATTCCATCCCACAAAATAGGCAAGGGCTGGCACTCACCACTTTCTCCGACCTTCTCTTCGTCTTCTCCTACCCGTGGCCAACTCTGGGCTGCTGCTGCACAAGATTCGTAATACCTCGAAACAAAGCACTTGGTGGTCAACTTTGAGCGTGCAGAATCCTGCCGCACGTGCCTTACCCCGTTCTTGCTTGCATGGAGGATAGCAGAGAGGGAAACGGTTTCAGGAGATTCGGGGTGGCGATTAAGAGCGATGGGTTGTCACTGTTGGTAGCGAAGTTTTTGCGCCCTGTGTCCTTTCGACTGGGGTAAGTATGACACCTCGCTTCTTTGATCTTCCAGTATTCAACTTCCATTCCCTGTAGCCGCTACCTTCACCCCCGTTGGTGATCAATGGAGGATTCGACGAGCCGCTCCTGCCCTTTCGGTATGTGCGTGGAATTAAGGATGACTTCTATCTGCATGGTAAGTCTCTCGGTTTGTTCCTCGATGATACAAACAAACACCATCCCTTTGACAGAATGACTTCCCTTATCAATGATCACAAAAGAGCCTCAGGATTCTTAAAACACATGATACAGGTGCCTGTTATACTACTACTAGGCCATTCACGCTCGCAACGGGACTTTTCACCCTCCTGTGGTCCGTCCTCTTGGTTCTCCCTTTCTGTTCTTACTCATGCATGTGTGTTAGAACCTTGTCATGGTCTCTGCTCTCACGATTTACTCTCTCCGTTTGTAGCGTATGGAAGTTGGTCCAACCCGGGTTAGCGCTTATTCGGGAGGTCGTAAAACAACTTGCTGTGCAAAATCTACGCAGCAAGGACCCATGGGCCATCTGTAGCATGACGTATTGTGTACAACTCCCGCGCTACTACCAAAACATGAAATTCTGCTTCAGTAACTATCAAATATGCGCGACAGAGGATCTAGGAATGGTTCAAGTCCGCCTCAGTCGCAGTGCCCAATCAGCACAGCAGAACAACCACCTTCATGGACGGGTGACACTCTCCATAAGGAATCCCACTACTTGGTGCGAAGGAGGAAGAACGGTCTTTAAGCACGGTTCCTCGGAAGAATAGTTTGGACATGATGTTTGCACGTTAAAAGTCAACAGTTTTCCAGCCATCTTAGTCGAATAATAAGACATGTAGCTGGGTTTCCTTTCCCTGTATGAGTTGTGATCAGTCCTTCAAGTCGTAGAGATGTTAGTCAGGAATACCGACGTAAAGTGAATGGAGGCTAGATGTATGTATAGTGGGCCCGGAATCGCCGCTCCTGGAGGTACCGCTGGATACGTTTGATTTCAGTAGGAATGAGGGGCGAACGAAAAAGACCCACACGTCACAACGCAACAGGCATTTCGCTTCCACCAACCCTCCCCTATGCGGCCGAAAAGAACGAAAGCATCGGGGACAAGTGAGAAGCGAGATGGCTGCAAGTCGCTCAAGATAACCAGGAGGACGACGCCGCCGGGCCTGCTCTTCACAATCAATCAAGAAGACAATGAAAACTTGGTGTTTCAGTTGTAGAATATGGTGGTTTACGCAGGCAACCCGGCGCACTTCACGCATGCAGGTGGCGAGTTAAGATGTCGAGAGTCAAGCTAGCACAGAAACCTTGTCAGTCGATCATCTCTTCGAAGGCCACTTGTCATCAGCCCAGCATACACAAATATCCAGCACAGTAACGATTGTGTGGAATCAGCTAGCGATTGAAAAACTCGAAGAGAACCCAAAACTAGAAGGAGACACGTAAATGCGGACCACAAGAACGAGGAAGGGCCACTACTAAGAACCAACACAGGGCAAGCAGGCATCTTCTGTCCGTTCAGACTTTCACAACCGAAGAAAGCCTCTTATGTAGGGGAAAACCTGTCGTAGTTTACAGCTGCAGTCGATTAGTAGAAGAAGAGTTAGGGGTAGAGAGGAAACGCACTGAACAATCCAGCCCCATGTATACAGCAGTTAACCGTAACGGTGCGTAGCCCTTAGACTAGTATCGTTAACATTTGTGTGCGCAGAAGAAACTCATGATGATCAGCATTCAGTCTGCCATGCTCGTTGCTCGATAAGGCATTGAAAGACCGTCGTGTCCTGAGAGAGGGTTTCAGCTTCTTTTATCCTGGTGCTAGAAAGGTGGCGTGATGGGCAAGGTCAAGACGATAAAACACGACCAGCTGTCATCTGAAAGGTTCTGTTCGTTTGCCTGAGCGGGTGCAACTTTACAATGTTTTCCGCCGTCACATATTTGCTTCAAAGTTCAACAGCACCTGCTCACGTGAGTGAGCTTTGCACGATGGCGAAATTTCCTGCGTGAGTCGATGCACGAAGGGATGCAAGTGGCTGGGTCGTGCGGGTCATGGTGGATAGTGTTTAAAGGTTCAGTCCATAGGACCACAAAAAACCGGTGGACCGAACTGAACCGGACCATGGTCCGGTCTTTTTTTCGGTTGCAGTTGCCCCAATTTGGGGTTGGTCCGGTTGCCGGTTGCCTCATTTCGAAAATATATTAAAACCGTTCAAAGACCGGTTTTGATCGGTTGCAACCGGTTAAACGGTCACGTGCGTTACATACCCTTGTAACCACGTTTATTACCTTTTATTGGGTTTTTGTTTCATCAAAAACGGTTAAGAATTGAAAAAGATATAACCAAATCCATATTTTACCCGAGTCTCTACGAGATGTAATTCGGTTTCAGTCATAGCTATGTCAAATATTCATTAAATCTCTTCAAAATTGGTAGAATAATGGGTATTTACATGCTTTACTATTTCATATAACCCGTTTATTTTTCAGAGTAATAATAGTCAAGATACAAATGGTTTATATTGGTATAATAAATTATACGCAAAAAAACCGGTCTGGATCGGTCTGAACCGGCTCCATAGACCGAAATAGACCGGTCCTAGGTGGTTCGGTTCGGTTCCCTCAATATCTGGGTCAGTCCTAGACCGGTTGCGGTCCGCGGTTGCGCGTTTTGGGGGCAAAAAACCGGACTGAACTGAACTTGCGAACACTAATGGTGGACCTAGGAAAGACGGTAGGATCAACGAAGTGGGGCTTGCGTTGGTGGCATGAAACCAGGACCTGAGTAACAGACGGAAGTAATTAGCGAGCAAGACATCGGATATATGCGAGGTGAAAGGCATCCAGAGATCGAGGGAGGAATAAGGGTACGAATGAATGAGTAACGCAAGGGTGATAACTTACCAAAGGAGATATGGTTATCCCGACTCTCCAGCTCTCCAACTAAAGCTTGCGATCATGATCAGATGGGCAGTGACCTAGCATGCCGTGTGGAGCTTTTCAAGAGGGTATTGCCGTCGTCGAGCTGGGCATCGTTAAAACCGCCCGCCATGTCTGCAACGGAAAGGCCGTTAGGGCAGGCATTGTCGACTTGAAAGAAAGATATACTGACGATCAACTTGAGCCAACGGAGTCGCTTCGAGCGCGTTACTGGGTGGTAGTCCAAAGATGGAGTTGAAGCAAAAAAAATTTGATTCAAAATCCTGTTCATACCGTAAGCATCCAGTAAACTTCCCAATTTCAATGTTTCAATCGTCGTACCAGTAGAAATCTGTGGTTTGCGGTTTGTACGCTTTTCAAGCATAGCGCTCGTAAACGAGGTTAAGAGGACTGGAACTGTCACAGAATTGTCAGCATATCAGACAAACGTAGGCAGACGGAGGAAGAGGGGTATGGTTGCGGCACAGAAGGGGAAAACGAGCTAAGGCAGAAAGGGGAGTAAATCTAACGGAAGGAGGAACTCACTCAGAGCCGGTGCACTCGAACATCTTCAGCGCATGCTTTGAATCTCAACAGCTCCCCGCTCTCTGTGGATCGGTACAAGTTGACGAAGGCGGGTATCGGGTTAAATTTTGATCACAGTGCGAGGTTGGGTCTCCAGGCGATGTCGGCAGTAGCTGAACCTAGAGAGGAAACATTGGACAACTAGTCATGAAACTCCATTTGATGAGGGGGGTTCGTGGCGGAGTTGAATCCATGGGTACTTTGCGACGGGAAGCTGGCCGAACAAACACAACATCTACTTGACAACAACGATTTTGCAAGTAGGAGGGCCCATAGGTGGGTCGCAAGGTAATGAAAGAAAAGGGTGTGTTTAGTCATCTTTCGCACAGCCACAAGCAAAACAAGCACGATCGTGACCACACATCTTCCTTTCGTTCGTCCCTTGGAGTTTCAATTTCCCTCAGTCTTGAGAGGTGTTTGTCGTTTTGCTTCTCTGACACACTTCTCGGTTGACCGCCATCCTTGTAGCCTGACTTGATGCCAAACCACTGTGGGAGGCAAGTGGGAGGGACCTCAATCAGGAACGTCAGCTGACTCTGTGAAACGGTCCGTTAGCCATTTTGAAGATTGACGCCGCACAGCATCGATTCTCTCTTCTGAACCACCATGTCTGATCCCATTGATCCCCGCGAAAACCGTTTGAAACGCAAGCTCGAGGAATTGCCCGACGAAGGCACGATCACTGACCACCCACGTAATAAACACTATGGTGGTTTCAGGTTAGAGTTCATGATCTCGGGCTACTAGATAAATATTAACGTGAATCCATCAGCCCCAGCACCGCCCCGCCTAGCTTGATAACTCCATCTTCAACCATCAGTGCAGTGGACATAGCCATGGCAGGCAGCAGTAAGATACATTCTAATCTTCCTGCATCAAAGTGAGCAGTGATTGCTCATCATTTCAAATTTCCAGGTGATCAGGTTGATGTCTCTGTGGATGGAGGGCTCCAGTGCTTGCAACAGGTTTTACCTATCTCCACTGGTCTGCATTAACCCCAAATCTCTATCATTCATCATTGGTAACACTGATATAGATTTCCTGAGTTCTTACCTGCCTACTACTCCATTAATCACCCCCATTTTTGAAATGACTGGTGCCTGTGAGACACCCCTCAATCTCTTTTCCATAATGTTCATATTAACTTTCATTAATTCTTATCACACAGTTGATCAGATTGAAGGTCCCATGCAAGGAGCTGCTGATTCCTTTCAACACCATTCTCCTATCTTGACAGGTTCATGCTTGCTTCAAATCTCTATATTCTATTTCTGATAACACTGTTTAGACTTTCCAAGTTCTGACCTGCCTGTTACTCTATCTATTAATTCTGATTTGAATGCAGAACTGATGCCTACCAGTCAGTACTCTTATGAATATAGTTCAGGCTTGCTCAAGTTAGACAGACCATGCAGAGTCCTCAACAAACTTTCAGGCTAACATTATAAACAACATTTCAGCCCCAGCTCAAAATGTGAATACAGGCCCTAACTATGGTTTGTTGCATTTGGACCATCAGATGTCATTGCCTTCACTTATATTTTAATAGGTATCATCAATCAAGGTAAGTAGTAAGAAAAACATCATGTTCATCTTAATGTTGTTTGTGATTGGTAGGTGTGGACCCAAACATTCAAATCACACTTGAGACAATTAGGGATGACCAACTGGGTATTATTGCAGGTTCTAGTTGTGAATGTGTTGTTGACTTCATTTTTCTGTTACAGTGGAGAAGATTTATAAGTGGCTTTCTCCACCTAAGGAGTCCATTAACTACAATGCTGCACTTGCAATTCTGGAGAGTCAGCCAGACACCTGTGAATGGTTTCTCAAGGGAAATACATTTCATGGGTGGCTCAAACAGCCTGGCTTCCTCTGGATCAAAGGAAAATGTAAGTTTTCTGTCAAAATTGGTAAATTTATACATTATTGACAGTCTATCCAGCTGGCTCTGGGAAAACCATCTTAAGGTTGATTATTTCAATATGTTTATGAAATTAAATTAAATTTTCTCTTCACAGCTCAGCAATAATCCACAATATTCTTGAGAGATTCAATTCTGCTACTGCATATTTCTTTTTTGATGGAAGAGACTCACAGAAGGATTTCCAGCTGCATGATAAACTACTGTGATCACTCATCTGGCAATTCTCTCTGAAGTGTGAGGGTAGACTGCCTAAAGTCTTGGTGAATCTGTATGCTGGCTGTGGCAATGGCCATAAAGAGCCAACTCTGGGTGATCTGCAGAATACTCTTCACATAATTCTTGATGGCTTTAGCTCAACATTCATCATTCTGGATGCTCTTGATGAATATGCTGAAAGAGAAAAACTTCTTAACTGGATTCAGACTTTTATTCTGGAGATAAATAAAAATCTTGGGCTTCACTTAATAGTTACTAGCCGCCCAGAACAGGAGATTGAGGACAAGCTCAAGTCTTCTAATTATCTTGACTTGGTTAAGGAATCTGAGAATTATGATCTTGTAGCCTATCTTGACTATCAGCTTCAGAATGACTCTGACTTGAAAAAATGGAGTTTTGACACTCAAGAGCAAGTAAAGCTGAAGTTAATGGAACAGGCAGATGGAATGTATGTTTATTATCAACATCTAAATGACAGGATGATTGTTAAAAACACAATTTTAGGTTTCGTTGGGTTGCATTGCAGTTAGATGAGCTTAAAAAGTGCCGGACTAAGACTAATTTGAAAAAGCAGCTATCTAATTTACCCCAGGGTTTGGATAAAACCTATGATCAAATCTTGCTGGGAATCAATGAAAAAGATCATGGTTATGCTAAAACCTTTCTACAGTGGCTGTCTTTTGCTGTTCGTCCACTTAAACTGACAGAACTGGCTGCAACTTCTGCTGTTGATCTTTCTGCTGAGAATGGACCAGAGTACAACTCTGATAATGAACTTCAAGATGTCAAGGATGTCTTGAAAATATGTTCTAGTTTCATTATGAACTCAGAAGGTGTGGCTTAGAAGAATAACAGATTGAAATGAGCACTAACTATCAAATAGGTTTTATCAAGCTTTCTCACTTTTCTGTCAAAGAATATCTCAAATCTCAGTATGTTCAAAGCCATAATCTGAAGCAAGTCAGATACTTCAGTTTCAGTGAGGAGCTATCTCATTCTGTCATATCTCAAATCTGTCTGGCCTATCTTCTGCAATTCAACACATCTGAGCCACTTGATAAAAATCTGGATGTATCTTCCCCTCTTGCAAAATATGCTGCAGAACACTGGATCATACATGCACAATCTAGTTGCAAGAGTCAATCTCAGTCATCTTCAATATTTGTAATGATGATGAAGCTTCTGACAGATGAAAATAATGCTTTTGTGAACTGGGTTAAAATTCATGATATTGATAGGCGCTTCTTCAGGATGAAGGGGTATGAGATTGCTAAACCACTATATTATGCATCATGGGCTGGACTAACTGAAGCATCATATGTCTTGTCAGAAGTGAGACAGATATAAATGCACAGGGAGGACTTTATGAAAATGCACTCCAGGCAGCATCATATACAGGCCAAGAAGCAATTGCACAGCTGCTCATTGACAAGGGAGCAGATGTACATGCACAGGGAGGACGCTATGGAAATGCACTCCAGGCAGCATCATATAAAGGCCATGAGGCAATTGCAAAGCTGCTCATTGAGAAGGGAGCAGATATACATGCACAGGGAGGACACTTGGGAAATGCACTCCAGGCAGCATCATATACAGGCCATGAGGCAATTGCACAGCTGCTCATAGACAAGGGAGCAGATATACATGCACAGGGAGGACACTTAGGAAATGCACTCCAGGCAGCATCATATACAGGCCATAAGGCAATTGCACAGCTGCTCATTGAGAAGGGAGCAGATGTACATGCACAGGGAGGACACTATGGAAATGCACTCCAGGCAGCATCATTTACAGGCCATGAGGCAATTGCACAGCTGCTCATTGACAAGGGAGCAGATATACATGCACAGGGAGGACACTTGGAAATGCACTCCAGGCAGCATCATATAAAGGCCATAAGGCAATTGCACAGCTGCTCATTGAGAAGGGAGCAGATGTACATGCACAGGGAGGACACTATGGAAATGCACTCCAGGCAGCATCATATACAGGCCATGAGGCAATTGCACAGCTGCTCATAGACAAGGGAGCAGATGTACATGCACAGGGAGGAGAGCATGGAAATGCACTCCAGGCAGCATCATATACAGGCCATGAGGCAATTGCACAGCTGCTCATTGAGAAGGGAGCAGATATACATGCACAGGGAGGACACTATGGAAATGCACTCCAGGCAGCATCATATACAGGCCATGAGGCAATTGCAAAGCTGCTCATAGACAAGGGAGCAGATGTACATGCACAGGGAGGACACTATGGAAATGCACTCCAGGCAGCATCATTTACAGGCAATAAGGCAATTGCACAGCTGCTCATTGAGAAGGGAGCAGATGTACATGCACAGGGAGGATGGTATGGAAATGCACTCCAGGCAGCATCATTTACAGGCCATGAGGCAATTGCACATGCTGCTCCTAGACAAGGGAGCAGATGTACATGCACAGGGAGGACACTTGGGAAATGCACTCCAGGCAGCATCATATAAAGGCCATGAGGCAATTGCAAAGCTGCTCATAGACAAGGGAGCAGATGTACATGCACAGGGAGGATGCTATGGAAATGCACTCCAGGCAGCATCATCTACAGGCAATAAGGCAATTGCAAAGCTGCTCATAGACAAGGGAGCAGATGTAAATGCACAGGGAGGATGGTATGGAAATGCACTCCAAGCAGCATCAGCGGAAGGGAAAGAGGCAATTGCACAGCTGCTCCTAGACAAGGGAGCAGATGTAAATGCACAAGGGGGATAGTATGGAAATGCACTCCAGGCAGCATTATATGCAGACAATGAGGCAATTGCAAAGCTACTTGTAGAGAATGGTGCAGATGTAAAAACTTGTCAGATGCACCCAGAGTATTAGAAAACAGGCTATCATTCATGACATGGAATAGTGAACATTTCATAGAGGATCTGGATGATAATGAAAAAGATGTTTTCAATGCTTGATAATTTTAACAAGGGTCAAGGTACTAGCTTTCTTGATATATTTTGTGGAAACAAACATTGGCACAAAGTTTTGTGACTTGAGTAAAGTTTTGGAATGGTATGACATTTTGATATCTGATATTGATTGTAGCTTGGAGAATAGTAATGTTTTAGTATATTGTTTTGAAATGGCATTCAATCAGTTATTTGATAGTGAGTGAAAAGTCCTAACATAGAAACCAATCATCAGTACCATCATATCATTGGGAAGTTACTGTATGATTACAACCAACTCTTCAGCCCATTGGGGTGTGATATATTTTGATCAACTCTTCATAGCTTCAATATCTGACATGATGTGTGATGAAGAGTGTGATCTCTTCATCTGTACCTCAGTCACCTACCCCAACCAACAGGCACTTGATGATGGGATAGGTCCCACAAAAAATTACTTAAAACATTCTTAGTACAATTTACAGAGCCAAAGCTCCACAGGCATTGATACAGAGTGTAACATTACACCCATAGAAATGTGAATTTTAGCAATTTCCCCTACAAAACCTTCTATAGTGAAATACAATTACTACAATCACAACTATCATTAGACACAGCTCAGTCTATTAGATTAAAGTTTACATCCAAGAAATGTGCAAGTCGAAGGTAGCAGGAATTGTGGTTGGTGCATGATCAGGTCACTTCAATATACTTGGAGCCTAAAAAGAGGTCTGATCAGTGCCCCCCCTATTCCTGCAGGATTCTGGTCATTCCGGTGGAATGAAATTTAGCAGTAAGCTCCACTAAATTTGTCATTCCTGTGTTTTCTCATTCTGGTGGAATCTGATTATTCCAGAATTTACACTGGAATGGTCTTCCCTGGAATGGGCAGAAACAGTATTCTGTTGAATCTATGTATTTCTTTGTTATTTGTTACTAATTACCATTTATTTATTTCTGACAGAGAACCAAACAACATCTGTTTGGCAATCATGGTCACCAAACACAACCATTCTTTCCTTCTCACCACCACCCACCATGCTCGTCACTGCCCAATGGCACATCATCACCATCACCCATAGCTACCACCAACCACATTGCTTGTTGACCACCCATGGCCACCACAACCACCAACAACAACCACGCCGACACCTTTGAACAACAATGTGGCGACACCACATCACAGAACAACAAGAGCAAGGTCAAGGTGATGCAGCAATCCCCCTTGCCCCCCACTGCTTGTTGGCATATGCCACGTCGAACCTAGTGATCGTCATGGGTTTTGCAACCTGTGCAGGTTGCGGGTAAGGGTATGTGAGGGTACGGGTACGGGTTGGATTTATCTGACCCTTGCTATACTCGTACCCTCAGCGTGGGTTGGCAGGTACCCGTAGTTATACCTGCCATGCCCAAATCAAACATCGGTGACGCCCAAATCAAACATTGGTGTTTGCTGATCAAACACCGATGTTTGATTTGGGCATCAACAACAACCACTCCCAGACCTTGACCACCACACCAATACGGTCACTAGTCACTGGTAATGACCACCCTCAGTGATGATGACTACTAACTACCCTCATCGACCTCTCACAACCACCCTGGCACAGCAGCGATGCCACGTCACCAGCCGACAAGCACCCAGATCAACGTGAGGCGATGACGATGAGGCGGCACATCAACAGACGTGCTGCTTCATCTGATGTTGACAAGGTTGTGCCCAGCCCAGGTAAGCTAGCACAACCACTCCTCCGAGTTATCTTTTGACAACCAACATGCCAGGTATTTTCAGTGACATGGGACCAACGACAAATGACCCACCACAAGACGATGACCACGACACACTCAATTGCGGAACTTTGTAGCTGAGGAGGATGGCTTCAGCGCTGCCATGCTGAAATCTGTAGATCAGGAAGACTTTCTTTGTCAGGCGCTCGCTGCTTTCGATGATGCAGCTCTTGCGAAGGCTCCACAGGCGTCAGAGGAAACAGCTGCGGAGGAAGCAAGGAAACAGATTGCAGCCACCCATGTTCTACCCAGCGTTGAGAGGACACTACCAATCCAAGTCCCATTTCAATTGCAACATGAAATACATCAACATACAACATTAGGTGAGCTGTCTACAACTTGATAGACATTGTTTCCGCTCACGTACCTTTCCAAACAAGTTGCAACCACCCCAGACTGCAAGAAACCCGTTACGTTTGTCCGAAACAACACACATATGCAGGAACATGGGTGTTGTCGCTGGAAAGGGTGATAATGGGTTGGATGTGGATGGGCAGTACAGGAAGCTCTGCTCCCATGTTTGGTAAGTCGTCCACCAAGACCTGTTCTGACATTGAGCAAGTCACCTACAAAGCCCCAGACATTGTTACCACCCATGCAACTCTCCACGCAAGTCACAACGACCCCCCAGAGTGCAATAAATGACTTCTACGCCAACAAAATAATGTGGGGAAACCGCTTACGTTCATCAAAACAATGCTACTTCGAGAACTGGACAGCAAGCACCCCTCGGACAGGACATGGATGTAGTGCAAGTCCGAGGGCATTGGAATATGAAAGGGAGGGGTTGGAAGCAGATGGGCAGCAGAGTGGGAAGCTCTGCTTTAACATTCGGTAAGTCGTCTACTTCGTTCTATTACCTACATTAAACGACAACCATACTACCTACACGAAGACCCAAGATCCAAATCTAATGCATAAGCGCCGTCAGAAGGATGCATTGGGTGAATGATGACACACAGTGACGATGAACGGTGTAGAGCGGCGATGAACAATGGAGGGTGGCGATGACTTTGGTTCATCGTTGTCATCGATGTTGTCTCTCCACTCAGAAGGGGGAAACGGTGACATGTGCACAGCCAAGTAAGGTAGAAAAGATAACATGTAGTATTTATTATATATCATACTAATCCTGCCAAATCTGCCAGACCCGTCAGACCCTCCAAACCCGCGCAAACCCCTACCCTTACCTGCAGAAACCGTTACCTGTGGTTGCGGGTATGGGTTTCCATGGGTAAGGGTACGGGTATGACTGAAAATACCCAGGGGTTACCTGTGACAATCCCTAGTCAAACCCCACCCATGAACACACCAGCACCCACAAATAACACCCACCACCTATGAACTACGCCCACCGCCCACAAACTATGCCCACTGCCCACAAAACGATGTCCAGCGCCCACAAACACACCCCAGAGCCCACGAAAACGCCCCACTGCTCACCGAAAAACACCCACTGCCCACACGACACATGACAGCACCACACTGCCCATGAAACGCCACAGCGCCCAGTGTCCACGACCCCCACAACGACGCCAACATGATGACGTCCATGGTGACATGTCCATGTCCACACCAAAACAATAATGTCCATGTCCACGCCAACATGCATGCAACATGTGACAATGACAACACGATGATGGCAATGTGACAACACACCCCCAAAACAATGTCCAGCACCCACAAAATGACGCCCACTGCTCATGAAACAATGCCCAGCACCAATGAAACAACGCCAGCACCCAGCTCGATGATGAGTGTGCTTGGCCCCACCACCTTTCCTTGTCCCTTGTCCCTCCCCCTTTTCTTGTCCCTCCCCTTTTTCTTCTTGTTCCTTGTCCCTCCCCCTTCCTTGTCGCTTGTCCCACCCCCCCTTCCTTGTCCCTCCTCCTCCTTCCTTGTTCCCTGTCCCTCCCCCTTCCTTGTCCCTCCCCTGTTCTTGTCCCTCCCTTTCCTTGTCCCTCCCCCTTCCCCCTCCCTTCAATATAGACTCTATGTAGTAGTATGTAGTAAAATACACCCCATGTCATTATTTAAATATATTTAAATACATTGCAATTTGATGTATGACTTCATTAGATGTGAATTTCGTAAGTCTGAGTATGTCAGGATAAGGTTGGAAGGACTGGTAAATTTGCATGGTTTTCAACCTTGTTCTGTTTGATTCTAGTCCTATTCCAGTGGAATTCCACTGGAATGACTGGATTCCTGCAGGAATAGGTGGAGCACTGTAAAGTACTGCCTAAAAAGACTACACTATAAAATAGTTCACTACAAGGTGTTCTAGAGTGAAAAACCTCAGAACAGGGTGTTGGAGTTCACACCANACAAGGGTATCATTACATCAATACTGGTGTGTTGTGTTGCCACGAGAAGAAACACTACCAAATTTTAAAAAGTCAGCTCAGGTGTGCTACACACCACTGAGCCCATTTCAAATCTTTACTAAAAACTTTATTAATTGGTCCAACTCTTGGACCAGCCCGAACTTGTTATTAAAAATTGAACCCCCCGAATTGCCTTAAAGGAGGATGTGCCCGGGCTGAAACATAAGGAATATCCCCATGTTGACAGCTGTTGCACTCCCAGTAGCATCTGAGGTAGTCAATAAGTTTGTAATCAATTAAAGGACTATTTTTTGCAGACATAAGTAAAGTGTGCCCAGAACCAGCATGTTCAGTGGGGATCACTAGCTTTTGTAAGGTTGTCTCATCAGTCAGTAAGAGAGCTCTCTATTACTTCCAAGGAATCCAAGTGAGTGTGCTTGAAGAGTCATTAAGACTAGTTTGGATTGAGTCAGAGTCATAATTAAAGCTCGAGGGAGTTACAAAAGCACAGTTCCTTGTCATTTCAATGTATAAAGTTAGAAATCAACTCCAGAACACAGAGATAGTCCCAGTAAAAGCCATTTCCCTTTGAAAGCTATTTAAGTTTTGAATTCTATACTTGTGCCCACATGTTAAAACAATATCATTTGTTACCAATGGGCTTGTGTGTGTATTGTAGAATCTTAACCCTAGAGTAGATAGAGAAAGATCTCAGTCTCGGTTATATGGACTCTATATTAGTGATGTACCTAGAGTAGATAGAGAAAGATCTAGGTACAGTAAGTAAGAGTAATCTCAGATATGAGTAAGAGTGGCTCACCTCAGTCTCGGTTATACGGACTGAGGTGATAGTAAACTACTGGGGGGTTTATATAGTAAGTACGAGTGGCTAAGGGAATAAAGGAAAAAGAAATAAAGAGAACGGACAAAAGGGAGTGTTCACGGTGTCGTGACATCCCAACACTCCTCCTCACTGTGAATACTCCTCCTCGCGTGGAGTCTTGGTGAATTAGCTGAGTCCTAGGAACCCGCGGAAGCGATTGAATTTCTTTATATCGAGAGCCTTAGTGAATATGTCGGCAATATTGTCATTGGTATTTATGTAGGAGAGGGATATTTCGTTGGATTGAATGCGCTCGCGGAGGAAGTGATGTTTGATATCAATGTGTTTTATGCGGTCATGTAGGGCTGGGTCTTCTGATAGATTTATGGCGGCGTTGTTGTCGCAGCAGATTGTGGTGGGTTTGGTGGTTGTGTGATTTATGCTGTTGAGGAGTGTGCGTAGCCAAATGCCTTCTTTTGAAGCTTCGAAAGCTGCAGTATATTCTGCTTCACAGGATGAGGCGGCTATGGTTTTCTGTTTTCTCGCTTGCCAGGATACGACGCCCGAGCCTAGTGAATATGCGTGACCACCTACACTTCTCCGTGTGTCAAGACAGTTGGCCCAGTCTGAGTCGGTAAAACCTAGTAAGGATATTTGGTTTGTTCCGCCGAGACGTAGTTTGAGATTTCGCGTGCCCGATAAATAACGTACCACACGGATTGCTGCATTCCAGTGAGCATATGAATAGCAGTCAAGATATTGAGAGAGCTGTTGGATGGAGTATGTGATATCGGGACGCGTGCCGATGGACAGGTAAAGCAAACATCCGACAAGTGAGCGGTATGGGAGTTTTTTGATATCATCCAACTCGACCTTTGACATATTTTTGTAGTTGGCGCATCGCAATTTTAATCCGGGATCCATTGGTAATGTGGATGGTGAGGCGTTTCACTGTCCGAATTGAGCTACAATTTTGTTGATTAAGGCTGTTTGGGAGAGCATGACCGTTTTGTTAGGTCTATCCCAGTCTACTGCTATGCCCACGACGAAGCGAACATTACCGAGATCAGATATTGTCCATGCTTCACGCATCTTGTTTTTGAATCTCTCATTTTCGTCTTTGTTGCTTGCAATGGACAGGAAGTCGTCGACATGTACAGCGCAGATGGTGGTGCCTGTGTCAGTTTTACGATAGTAGATGCATGATTCGCAAGACAGACGGGTGAAGCCCCATGAGATCATTTTCTCATTCATCGTTATGTTCCAAATACGGCCACTTTGCTTCATCCCGTATAGGCCCCGCTGGATTTCCCATATCCAGTCTTCCTTACCAGGTTCTTCAAACTCTTGGGGTTGTTCCATGTACTGGTACTCCCCTTCAGGAAGTAATCCATATAGGAAGGCTGTCTTGATGTCAATTTGTTGAGCATCTCAATCGAGTGTCGCGGCTATATGAAGGAGTATGCGCCAAGACTCCATGCGCATGGTAGGTGAGGTCGTTTTAGTATAGTCTTTACCGTAGATCTGCTCGCAACCTTTGAATACGAGACGAACCTTCCAACGCATCGCTTTTCCGATCTCGTTGCGTTTGATTCTAAAGACCGGCATTCCCTTCCTAATTTTCTTTCCTTGTGGGACGTCTGATCTGGGAATTAGCTTGTACACACCCATATCCTTGAGTGACTTGAGTTCGTCACAGTACCCTTCTTCCCATCGTTTAGTGTCTGCTGATGTTTTTGCCTCATTCCAAGTCCTTGGCTCGTCCTCGAATTCCAGGGTCGAGGGATCAATTTCAGGTAGTTCGGATATAGCGGATAGGGCCCGATCAATGCGATCACCCTCAACATCACTGAGATTTAGGGTCCCAAATATCTCCCTTAACTCCGCGATGGCAGCGTTTTCGACGATTTCTGGAGAGTTGCGCATTTCTTCCTCCTGGATGTCTTGGAGGGTTTTCTTGCGTTCAGCTCGAGTTTCACGAAGTCGAATTCCAGTGTCTATGGATTGTTGGATGGCAATTTCAGTGCGGGTCGGTTTGGGTTTGTTGGTCTTCTCGGCGATACGTGATGAGTGCCTGATCTGAGCATCATCTGTTGGATTGGCCACGTGTTGGGGATCTTGGGTATTATTGATTTGTGAGAGATCATCTGGTAAGACATCTTCCTCTTCGTCATCTGACAAGATAGGAGTGGGTGTAGCATTTTGAAGGATTTCGTTTAGCGTCAATGGTATATCCTCGGTTGCAGGGAGGGAACGCATGTGTCCATCATGGCTTTCTAGAAAGCGTACGTGATAAGAGCTTATTACTCTTTTAGATTCCCTATGGTAACATCTGTAAGTTTTTGCATTTGGATCATAGCCTATCAAGGTGCATTCAATGGAACGGTCGAAGACTTTTGGGTTGTGTTTGTTTTGTATGAGAACGAAGACTCGACATCCTATCTCACGCATGTAAGAGTAGTCCAGTTTTCGCCTGTGGTATTTTTCCCAAGGTGTTATACCTCCTGGAAGTGAACGTGTGAGAGTTTTGGAATGAAGATGCACCGCTGTCAGATAAAATTCATCCCATAAATAGGGAGGGCAGTCAGCGTAAATGCGCATAGTCCGGGCTTTGGCCATAAGGGTCTGATGCATTCGTTCTACACGTCCTATGTGAGCAGAGGTGTAGGGCGCTGTGAAGCGCTGTTCGATACCACGGGACTTCAACCATTCGTTCATTTTGTCGCTCTTTAGCTCCCCTTGATCGGTGATGTAGGTACCAATTTTCTGACTGGTTTCAGATTCCCTCGCTAACTCCCATGCCTTTAGTTCTGGGAACGCATCATCCTTATTTTTTAAGGGAATTGACCACAATTGACTTGTGTAGTCATCTACGATATCCATGACATACTCATTTCCTGCGCGAGATCTCAGGTGCTGTCCTGATAAATCAACCCACACCTTCTCCAACACCCTTGTAGCCTTATGCCCCGGCCCCTCCTTGCGTGTCTTTGGTACTGGTGTCTTTGTCTGTTTACCAAGCACGCAAAACTCGCATTTAGGTGGATTTGTGGGGGGAAAGCTGGCAGGCATACCTGGGATTAAGCCGTTCTTCGCCATTTCTCGTACAGCTTGGTAGTTTGCATGGCCAAGACAACGATGCCATGTTTCGAGATCAGGCGCGTGAGATATAGTAAAGGCGTGTTCGGCATGGGGAGATAGAAGGTTGAGGGAATAGAGGTTTTTGGTAGGAAGGAGCGTGCCATGGGCAATTGTCGCACCGGAAGATTTGTTGGTGATCCAACAGGTAGCCTCGTCAAAATGAGCGACGGCTTGGCTATCGCGCGCAAGTGTGCTAACCGAGATAAGCCACACTGCTGCATTAGGAATGAATAAAACATTTTCCAAGATTATATGCGCTCCGCGCGCAATGTGAAGTTTGATATTACCTAGCCCGATGGCAGTAACGGATGATCCACCTACGCCTTTAACGGATCGAGCTGCGATTGGACGAAGCGTGAGGAAGTCGCCTTGTTCTGGGGATATGTGAACAGTTGCTCCCGTGTCGACGTAGAAGGGAAGATCGTCAAGAGAGATGGGGGTGCGCTTGTTTTGTTGGAGTGGAGAAATTTCAGAGATAGCAGCGATGTCGACGGGTTTAGTGTGCTTTCTCCAGTCCAGTGAGGTTGTAGGCTCCTCCTCAAGCGCTAACCAACCACTCCATTCTATGTTCTCCAAGGAGTCAGGGAGTATAGACTCCGGAAGGTCCGATGCTAGGCCGGCGAACTCAGTCTTTGAGCTACTGGGAGCAGAGATGTCGGATGGGTCAACGTGGATAATGAAGGCTTTGCCTGTGGAGTCCTTCACGTTAACGGCAATTTTTCCAGTGTTGCTGTTGGACTTTATAGCGTTATTGGTATTTCCTCGAGCTTTTTCGCGATCCCTCTTACGTGCGTCTTTGGATTCTTGGATTGTTTTGCCTGCCATTCCCCCTCCTGTGGAGATGCAGTATAAATCCGTGTGGCCCTCACGTTTGCAGTTACTGCAAATGGGAGTGCTATAGGACTTCGTGTGGATGGCAAGAGCGACGTCGGATGTGGAGAATGATTTTGTCGCGGAATGGAGGGTTTCTTCGCTCTCTAGGTAGTGACGAATATCCTTTGATGTGTATTCTTTGTCCTTTGTCGAAGCGCGTAAATCACATAGAATGCTGGAGCGGATATGGGGAAAATCTTCGAGAGAGTTGATGATCGCAATGCAGCAAAATAGATCAGCTGTAAAATCCCCCATCGCAAAAGCTTGGTCTACGGCGTCGCAAATTTCGCGGCACGTTTGAGGGAGTGGCGTACCTTTCTTGCACTTAATATTAAGAGCAGTGCGCAAGAGATCCACCTGTCGAACTGGCCCCTCATTCTGGTGTCGCTCCCTTAGTGTGTCCCATGCTGCTTTGGCCCCCTTTGCCATATCTAATTCCGCTTCGTCGTCGTCGGAGACGTTCATTGCGATGGCCGTATAGGCGAAGCGGTCGTTCTCCACCCAGTTTTCACAGGCATGAGGTTCAGTTGTAGGGGATGGTTTGGATTTTTCACCAAGGACGTAGCTGAGGAGACCGTTGATGGCGAGATAATGCGTCATATCTTTGCTCCATTTCTTGTAGTTAGATTTGAGTTTGTCGAGCTTTTCGCCGACGAAAACGTTGTTTGGGCGAGTAAGGGATATCAAGGGACGAAGTGCATCAGCTTTAAGCAGTGCCTCGTTGAGGGAAAGACTGGTGGCGGCGACGGATTCCTTTGGCGCCATGACGAGAAATAGACGGAGAACAAAGACAGTTGGACGCATCTAATTTACGCGTTCGTAACGTGTTTGATGTGACAAGATTAAAATCTAGGGTTAGGTTCTTCGGTCACCATGTGTGACTATAGGCCCATAACCTGTAGAATCTTAACCCTAGAGTAGATAGAGAAAGATCTCAGTCTCGGTTATATGGACTCTATATTAGTGATGTACCTAGAGTAGATAGAGAAAGATCTAGGTACAGTAAGTAAGAGTAATCTCAGATACGAGTAAGAGTGGCTCACCTCAGTCTCGGTTATACGGACTGAGGTGATAGTAAACTACTGGGGGGTTTATATAGTAAGTACGAGTGGCTAAGGGAATAAAGGAAAAAGAAATAAAGAGAACGGACAAAAGGGAGTGTTCACGGTGTCGTGACATCCCAACATGTATGTCAATGGTTATTCGGATGTAACCTAAGGACCACATTACATGACGATAATATGTAGGCCTGGGCTTCCATGGGTTTGAGCTACCTAATTATGTAACTGTCCTGTTGTCATGCACTGCTTTCGTGATTTTCCATTTGTAACACTAATCAGGGCTTTCAGGGGGGTCTGTGGCCCCTTACAATTGTAGGACTCTCAATTCACATTATCACCTATCACTGCATCTAGCTCTGATGGCACCCCTAGGTCAGGGTGTTGCCATCAGACATTCTTATGGGGGACCCCCCTGAATCCTGTCAGACTACACAACTGGCCCTAGTTCTTTCCTCAAACAGCAGCATTACACCACCTGAGATTTTCATTCAGATCTCGATTGACAGATATGTGGAGTGATCCGACCCTTTGGCTACTTGGTGTTGTTGATCAGCAAGGGGACTGGTTTACCAGCCTCAACTCAGTGACATGCACTTCATTTGTCAGCCTCACAGCCTGTCCCAAACCTTCCAAACTAGCTTCTTTGGCAATATCCTCTTTTTCCAGGACAAGGGGAGTGATGTCACCATGACTTCATTGCACTCTTACTAGACTAGGACAACACTGAATGCATGCCACATTAACTTGGACCAAATTATTGTAAGAAATTTCTAAAGAAATTTCAAATAACTTCACAGTGACAATGTCTAAAAAATTGTAAAATTATTGTAACTTTTCTGTGACAACCACTTGTATTATATCTACTATTACAATTGCAATTGGTGTCTTGGTGTTTCCCACAGGATAAACAGGGTCCTCAAAGGAAGAATCTGATTGGCTGCCAGGTTTTTGAGGTCATTTTCCATGAAGAACATGATCACTCTCTTTCCGCTCTGTGCCTTTCTTCATCACTCTCTACCCCTCCCTTTGTAACACTTTATGCCCTTGGAATACCTGTAGCAGAAGAAATGTATGTATTTTCGATTGACTTTTTGCGTTTTCAATAAATCTCAAAAAATCGGACAAATCGAGAAAAAAATTAAATCTGGGGTCAAAAAAATATTGGTGTTACGCGTTACTGCCGAATTGATCGAAATGGTACAGTATTGTCAACAATTACCTTGAGTCAACACATTCTCAGAAAAAAAAAAAAAAAAAAAGATGGGTAGATGCAAGGTAGATGTGAGTCAATCAGTATACTTCATGAACAATAACTTACCTGGAGGCTGTAGCTGATGTGGAGGAAGACGATTAGCAAGGTGACACCAGGCAATACACCCATTTGTACCCATCTTTGGCCCATCCTGTCCCATTGGCAATTGGTGGTTGGGCATAAAACTGATGGCCATCCCTGTTCACATCTTTCTGGAATGTTTGGACCCTTGCAGCAGTGGACTTCATGATCATGAGGGTGGTGTGGCACATCCTCGCGAACTCATATCCAGTACTGTGTAGTGATCAGGACTACCAACTGATGATATGTAAGTTATTTTCCCTTCAATCCACTTGCAGAAAATCACACTTAACTCACTAGGCCTGATGAAGACCTCAACACTCCTCAGCGACATCAAATTCGGGCCTGTGCAACTGTTCGTCAACTCAATGCCAACGTGGATCAAAGCCCTCGCTGCCGCGAAACTCCTGCCCCAAGACCTGAAACACCTACACCCCAACCTGGAGCTGTAGAGAGGGCAAGTATGAATTCCTGTCAGTCAATGCGTGAGACTCAGAATGACCTTCAAGACAGTCCTAGGAGGTGACATCCCGCAACACAGAGGATGAAAGCCATGCTCTGAGTCCACCTGAATGCGAAACACCTGCAAGAAGAGTTTTTATAGGGAATGGGGTGCATAATATCAACTCATTTTGTGTGATGAAAGCATTATCCTATCTTCCCCTCCTTAAATGCAAATGGTCATTGGCACCAATCGTCAAATTATTTCCCCATGGAAACAGGTCCAACTGCCTCAAAGCAGGAGATCTTTGGGTCAGCAATGTTGGCACCAACAGGCTCATCTTCAATGCGATCAAGCCTTGCTGGTGAACCAAAGTACTTGTCATTCTGTCCTTGGACTGCTCAAGCACTCAATTTAACCATTTTTTGGTTGAATAGGTACTCCCAATGCCCACTGTTTGGGTAAGCAATGATGGCATGAATGTGAAAGGTGAGAACAACAACAACAAAGTGTTAGCAGAGGTGAAAACAATCAGAGTAAGTGCATAAAATGTTTTGAGTCCATAACTTTATGTGTTAACATACTGAACAGACCATCCAGATCAATGGATCAGGATCCACAGTTCATACACCCCATCCAGTTACACCTTCCGCTCCTATACTCAATGCCAGGCAGACAGTAAGTACTTACATACATTACTTTTTGTGATCACAATTTCTGACTCACTTACCACCATAAGCTCAATGCAAGGGTTCTCAATGCACACGCTGAAAGGACAAGACAGTGGTGAAATTCAGATGAAAGCCCTCACTGCCCTCAAACTCCTTCTCTTGGGCCTGAGACTCCTACACCTTGAGATGTCATAGCTTCAACTATAAGTAAGTATTTCTTCTGCGTATTAAATGATGTTTCTCATTGCAATTAATCACTCTATGACCAGTTTGATGGCATTCAGCCCAGGCACCACCTGCCAATCCTGACAGTGTACCACTTACTGTTTCATCATTGAGAAACCGCTCCAGCTCACACATGTTACCAACCCCGCCTTCAACTCAGGAGATTGGACAAGATAATATTCCTCACAGACATGCGTCACAGGCTCATGGTAAGTCATTCAGGTAAATTTGGTTTCTAACAGCTCCCCTAAATTTCATTTTTTAGAGGAAATCAACAACTGAGATTTTGTCCAACAGGAAGAGTACAACAATGACCATGCATATCTTCAGCCTGCTATTGTTATTCTGAGTCTCATTCTTCAACAGAACCCCCCACCCTTATTGAGGATGATGACTTGGATGACGAAGAAGAACAGGAAGATGGTGATGAGGGACAAGAGGAAGAGGTGACTGATTCAAGAGAAAGGGTGGTTCAACAGCCAGGTATTTATAACTTTCTCCTTTTTTGTTATCTCTAAATCATTTTGAACAGCTCCACAAGTGCCTCCAAATCATCACTGCCATCATCGTCATGCGAACCTCTTTTCCATGGGATGGTATTTTTGGGACAGCTGTAGCCTATGTTTATACCATCAAATTTCCAAAAGGAGGGTTAACGCACATCCATCTCCTCATTTTTCTCCAAGAGCCCTACAAGCTACTCACACCTGAAGCCATTGACTCCTGTATATGGGCATGTTGGCCAGATCCTGACATGCAGCCACTCTTATTTGAAACCGTCAAGTGGTGCATGGTTCATGGGCCATGTGGTGCACTGAACCTGAATGCTCCCTGCATGGTAGATGGAAAATGCAGCAAGGGCTACCCAAAAAATTTCCAGGAGACCTCAAACATGGATCAGAATGGCTACCCACTTTACTCCAGGCCCAATGATGGAAGTAAACATAAGGTCAGAAATCATTGGTTGGATAATCAGTGGATTGTACCATACCCTGGCCCTGCATGTTTCTTGACTGTCACATCAATGCCAAATGTGCCATCTCTATTGGCAGCATCAAGTATCCCTTCAAATATGTTCATAAAGGCCCTGATCGTGCACTCCTGGAATACCAGCATGATGAGATTAGAAGGTGGATTGATGGGTGATACATATCTCTGCCAGAGGCTGCCTGGCATATCCTTCAATTCAAAATGCATGACCAGATCCCGCCAATTGTATGGCTTCAAGTCCATCTTGAAGGCCACCATATGATAACTTTCAATCCTCTGGACACAATTGAAAATGTCATTGAATGATGAGCACATCAGCAAACCACTCTCAGCTTACTTTGAAGCAAATTCAAATCCAGGACAACTGGGAATTGAGGCACGCAAACACACCTATCAGGAATTTCTGCAACACTTCACGTGGGATGATGTTGGAAAGTAGTGGAAGCTACACAAACGAAAAGGGTTCTCCCTTGGCAGGATGTACTTTATCAAGCCCACAGCCGGTGAACAGTTTTATCTTCGTACTCTTCTCACTGCTGTCAAAGGAGCCAAGGCTTTTGAAGACCTTTGTCATGTTTCTGGATGGTGGGAGCCATTACCAACATATCATGCAGCATGTGTCGCACAAGGGCTGCTGGCAGATGATGGTGAATGGAGACTATGCCTTGAAGAGGCTGCCCAAATCAAAACAGGGACTCAGCTTTGACATCTCTTTGCCACCCTCCTCCTTTTTTCCAACATTTCACAGCCTGAGATTCTCTGGTGTGACTTTCATCACCATATTTGCGATGATCTGGAACAAAATTTAGTTGCAATGGGAATAACCAATCCACTAGAAGACGACATCCATGACTTTGGATTGTTTTTGCTTAACAAAGTTCTCTGAGAGTCAGGACAACTCTCAACAATTGGCCCTCAATGCCAAAGCCTCAGAATGACTGGAATGATTTGGTTATCAATCCACTGATTGCTGAACAGCTTAATTACAACAGAAACATGCTTTGTGATGACCTCAATTCAAGACTTCCTTGCTTGAATGAGGATCAGCACAAGGCCTTTACTCACATCATCAATTCAGTCGTGAATAACCTGGGCAAGGTGTTTTTTCTGAGTGGCCCAGGGGGTACTGGAAAGACATTTGTCTACAATACCGTCTGTGTGAAACTGTGCTCTGACAGTGCTATTGTCCTTTGTGTAATTTCATCTGGAATTTCTGCCCTATTCCTGCAAGGTGGACGAACAGCCCACTCCATGTTCAAAATCCCAGTCAAAAACCTCCATGAAGAATCATTCTGCAGCATTCCAAAGAACAGCCAACTTGCAGATTTACTTTGGGCAACAAAGGTGATTATCTGGGATGAGATTGGGGCAGAGCATAAGCATGTAGTGGAGGCATTGGATGGTACTCTGCAAGATATCTGTGATGACAGCTGGCCGTTTGGGGGAATTACTGTCATTTTAGGATGTGATTTTCTCCAGACTCTTCCTGTAGTTCCCCAGGGTTCAAGAGTTGACATTGTCGATGCCACCATCCAACGCTCACATCTGTGGAAACATGTTGAAGTTCTTTCTTTGCACCAAAACATGCAGCTTGAGCAAGGTGATCAAGATACTCAGGAATTTGCACAATGGCTACTGGATGTTTGTGATACAGGATTGGAAGGTAATGCCCAGAGGCCATAGTCAAACAGTGGTATATAGCTAGATTTGGATGTCTTACATAATTAATTGATCTTTTGTCTTGTCAGCAGTGTTGCTCTCCTCTTGCACTACATGTAGTGCTTTGTATATCTGTTCCTACAGTATGCATAATCATCTTGGGCCAGCTGAGTATCTTGTAACTACTCACTTCTCACTTACAGGTGTTTGTCACCACCCATCCTCACCTCTCCTTCCCTCTTGGCTTCAGCTATGCAAGAAGTTCAGAGTGAACGCTTCACAATGTTGGTCATGGTTGCAATCTTATCAATGAGAACAAAGTTCACTTTCCAGACCACATGCAAGTGGAATCTGCTGATTTATTGATTGAGTCAATCTATCCTGCCATTGATTCCACCCCTCCCCCTCCTGAATACTTCCTCAACTAGTGTTCGCAGGTCCAGTTCAGTCAGGTTTTTTGCCCCGAAAACAGGCAACCATGGACCGCAACCGGTCTAGGACTGACCCAGATATTGAGGGAACCGAACCGAACCACCTAGGACCGGTCTTTTGCGGTCCATGGACCGTGTTCAAACCGATTCAGACCGGTTTTTTTGTGTAAAATTTATTGTACCAGTATAAACCATTTGTATCTCGATTATTATTACTCTAAAAAATGAACTGGTTATATATCATAGTAAAACATATAAATACCCATCATTCTACCAATTTTTAAGAAATTTAATGAAGGCTTGACATAGTTATGACTGAAACCGAATTACATCTCATAAAGACTTGGGCAAAATGTAATGTGGCAACTGTAAATTATTTGATGCATACCATATATTGATAGATGGTGAGTATATTTTCATACTTAAAATGTCAATATCCAAGAATTGAATCAAGCAAAATGATGAAAGTTTGAGTGAGTTAGAATTAAAGTCATTCTGGTACAAGTTGCACAAACAAGTATTTGTGCCAAAATGAATTTGGTTGTATCTTTCTCAGTTCTTAACCGTTTTTGATGAAACAAAAACCCAATTAAAGGTAAAAAACGTGGTTACAATGGTATGTAACGCACGTGACCGTTTAACTGGTTGCAACCGATTTAAACTGGTCTTTGAACGGTTTTAAAAGATTTTTGAAATGAGGCAACCAGCAACCGGACCAACCCCAAATTGGGGCAACTGCAACTGAAAAAAAGACCGGTCCATGGTCCGGTTCAGTCCGGTCCACCGGTTTTTTTCAGTCCTATGGACCGGACCTGTAAACACTATGGACCTCAACTGCATGATACTCACACCTCGAAACATTGATGTTGCTGAAATCAATCAGGAGATTTTGGATCACATGCAGGGGCCAAGTCAGCAGTACATCAGTGCAGATGAAATTACATGCGAGCCAGATGCAGATCCTCAAGATGATGAACCTATTCCAATTGAATATCTTCACTGTCAACTCTTCCAGTCTTCCTCCTGGTGAATTGAATCTGAAAGTTGGATGGCCTGTTATATTACTTCACAACCTTTTGCCAGCTCAGGGATTATGCAATGGAACTTGCATGGTGATTACACAAATGGGTGATCAGGTTCTTGAGGTTTGTTTACTTGGCAGTGAAAGAGATGAGCAGCTAGCACTTATTCCTCAAATTTTGTTGATCCCCACAAGCACAATCAAAGTCTCCTTCCAATTCAAGCAGTATCAATTCCCTGTTCATTTGGCATTTGCACTATCCATCAACAAATCTCAAGGCCAGTCTGTATGACATGTTTGGCTTTATCTGTGCTTTCCAGTTTTTTCTCATGGACAATTATATGTAGCTCTTTCATGTGCAACTTCTCCCCATAACATAAAAATTCTTCTTCCAGATGATGTTGCAGAATACCTTATGACAAACATTATATATAATGAGGTTCTCATAGATTACAGTCATCCACCAGCCAATGAGACACCACCATCATTTGAGACACTTTTGCCTACCTAATATCTCACTCAATACTACACCAATTTTTACAAAACAAATTTTAACATGTAGTAAAAGCTCATATCTACCAGTCTACAAATTTTGGATGCAGTCAAGGCAATATTGACAATGCTGTGGAGTTTTCAAAATGGACTGTTTTTTGGAAGTAGCCAAAATACAGTCACACCACTCATTGAGACACCCATAATATTAGTTTTTCTTCATGAAAGGTTGTTCAAACATTCTGAAACTTGGCACAGTTATAAAAGGGTATTTATCTCAGATTTTCATGTAGTTTTTGTAGTGAAAGGTTGTGCTTAAATTTGTTGAAGTTAATTTTCCAATTTCGGTGTCTCATTAGCTGGTGGATGACTGTAGACATTGAATTTAATTTCTATTGCAGTCTAAGTCAACTCAGCCGTGCAACATGATCATGTGGGTTTGCAATTCATAATATCAGAAAAGTCCACAGTGGTGAATTAAGCCCAATTAACCAAGTTTGAACCAATTGGCCCAACAAAGCCCAATGTAATGTTTTGGGTTCTTAGATAAGGATTAGCTTGCAGATGGTACTTCATTTGAACTTGAATGTTGCCCAATATTGATTGAAAAGGCAATAGATATATATGATATATACCATTGGCAGTAGTATTATAGCTGGAAGGCATAAAGCAAAGTGTATGTGGTCCAGACTAAAATAAAACAATTGTGAATGTGTGTGTAGCAACACTTTCCTGGGATTGGATGTGCAGGATCATCAATCAGTAGCAGAAATTTTATTTCAACCTGGGATTGAACACAGGGTTTTAGGAATCGGGCACACCACACATTATACACAGAAAGCAGCCCATTAGACCATCACACCACACTGGCTTTACAAAATAGTGACACACATTCTACTACATAAAATTGGAACAGGCTTGAGGTTTTCACGACACATCCTCCACCTTCCTTTTGGATATGACAACTCCTAGCCCATACAAGAATCTCAGACAACCCACCATTGCCTTCTCCCCTACCTCGACCTTAACCACTATTTATAATATATTGATACTTATATTCTACACTGATTTTTCAAATTGACGAATCACGAGTTATTATCAAGAAAGGACCTGTGTGAATGCATGGGTATCGGTTAGTAAAGAAAAATCACAATAATTTTACAATTTTTAAGACATTGTTACTGTAAAATTGTTTGGAATTTTTTTACAATTTCTTTACAATAATTTGGTTCAAGTTAATGTGGCTTGCATCCAGTGCAAGTGTTACAAAATATACAAGTCAGTTACCGAACTTCTACTTTAAGTTCTAACAAAACAAGTGTAGTAATTTAGTTTACCATACCAACCCAAACTCAAAGTACTAAGCATGTACCAGTGGTGATAAGTGTTAGACTTTAGTGTGTATGGGTATATTGTTTAGGTGTTCACACATCTACTTTCCACACTCATACGTGTCACAGTCTTCTCAGCATTAGAAAAAATGAGTATTTCAGACTACGACAAAAAGACTTCAAAACACGATGTGATGTGTGACGTGAAGAACCGGTTGTAATCATGCAGTATAAGTAAAGCAAGTCAGAGAAAGTAGTGCATGGTACCAGTATGTTTAACCTCCAAATCCGAGGGGAACAGCCTGAATCTTTGTTTTTGTTTGAATCTTGAAGTGTGTATTGCCAACTTAACATCATATACCAAAAAAAGCCTCCAAGCAAAAAAAAACTGAGGTAACATAAAAACCAAGCATCAGTAATGTCATATCATTGGGAGGGTATAAGTAAAGCAAGTCAGAGGTACATATCATATCAGTCATTCCGGATCCATACCCATTAGTTTCTCTCCTTCTTTCATCCCTTCGTTCACCCCAGGCGTTCGTCCATCCACCTGCTCCCAAAAAAAAGAAACCCTTCTCCCACGCCAACCCTACGTCCTGCCCCCCTTCTCCCCATCAAAAAACGCAACCAACCACCCAATCGGAACCTTCCCCACCGGCTTCGGCATGGGCATCTTCACCTGTAACCCCTCCTGACTTTGCTGGTGCCTCCTCAACAACAAAGGGTCCACAAACTTGGTCCCCCCTCCTCCAAGACCACCGCTTATCATTCCGTCTCCCGTCCCAATGGAACTGGTACCAGAGGAAAGCCGCTCAGAAGAGCGGGACCTCAACTTCGGTTTTAGCAGTGCAGTGGTCCCCATGGTAGGAGCCTGTGGAGGGAGGAGGCTGGCGTACTCATACGCGCTCTGTGCCCTGATCCGACGAGTGGACGGCGATGGGGAGGTCGTGGCTGTGGACTTGTAATCGCCACCCCCAGGTCCACCAGGCGATATCGAGTTTGAAGTGGTGGAAACCAAACTCCCATTCGCGTTCTTGAGCTTGATGCCGGAAGATTTGCCGATGGTCTCTTCACCTTCTCCGAACTCTCCTGCGCCTTCCTCCTCCTTCTTCTTGTCGTCGTCATCGTCCCCTACGGGAGAAACGGAAAATGACCCCCCAATCACACGGGAGTAGGACCGTGGTGTGCCTACCCTTTTCAATAAAGGAGCAGTAGAAGGTAGATCCGTATGGGTATTAATGTTCGCATTGGTATTGGCGGCGGTGGAATAGAACAAAGAAGCAGCATTCGAGGAAAATTCGTCCTCATCAGGCAGCGCGGTTATCGGCCCTCCAAGCGCAACGGTATACCGTTTCCTCGGCGTGGGGCTTACACTCGTTTGTCGTTTACCAGCAGCCGATTTCGGGGGTGGCAATCCTTGTGTTCCTCGTCCTTTTGCTGGTGCGGGTGTTGGGCTGGCCGTTCGGTTGGCAGAAGAAGAGGCAGGAGCGAACTTGGGTTGAGCAGGCGGGACGGCGGCCTACCCGTACCGGAAGCCAGCGAGGAAAGTGAGGTGGTAGAGTACGAAGCACCTGGTAGTATACCCAGTCCTGAGGATAAATGGAGGGGTAACCCCGAAATGGCCGTAGACAAAGGCCTTCATAGCGGAACTAATCGACGAAGGTGGAGAATTACAGGGGAGAACGTGTCTGGCGCAGAAGAATAATCTCCCGTGGGGGAAGGTAACCTCGTGCCCGACTCTTTCCTCTTCGAAGTCTTCCTGAGATGGTAGATAGGCGTGCTGGGTGCTGATGGAGATCCTGTCAAGTGCGTTGCAATTGAAGAAGTCGGATGTGAATGCGTGACGATGGAGGACGTGGTTTGTGTTGCGACCAACATTGATACAGCGGCGGACTGCGTTTTGGGTTCCGCAGAGAGGGTGCCGTTGCGATTTTTGCCATATCCCAAAGCAGTTCCCCTAATCGGCTTTGGAGCTCGACGACTTCGTCCCGGAGGTTCAGTTATCCGTCGAACCCGCATGCACTCGGACTTGCAATCCTTCTCCTTCACTTTTTCCCTTTCCTTTCTCCCCTTCCTTGTCGACTAACCACCTCTCAACCTCGTTCATCCGATCTTCCAAAGCCCTAACGTGTCCCATGGTCCATTTATCGAGCTTGTCGCAGCGTTTGGCTATCATGAGGAGTGTGCCTGGTAGATATGAACTGGGCATACAAAGGTCAAGCCTCGCGAGAAGGGGGGGGAAGACAACGTATCCGTTGTACGCATGAGAAAAGAAGCCCAGTTGGGTGGCGTAGTCGAGAGACTCGAACGAGAAGAGGTAGGCGAGGGTGGGGAGGCAAAAGGTACGGGGTTCATGTTGAATGAGCGCTGAGCAGGCATGAGCGGGTCTTTCGTAGGCAGAAGCCTACTCTTCGCAGCAGACCACCAACTAGTAGCGCGACCTGATTGTTTGCGAATTAGACGGGAACGGTGGATTAGGCATAGTCTGAGATCTGAAGCCTGAGGGGCGGTGGAGGGAGCGTCTCTCCATCGTAGCCAGCGCACAATCGTCAACGGGTCTCCTTGCCTGGACCTCCCCCGAGTATAGCTTCCCCCTCTCTACGACTACAGTCGCGTTCCCTCTCCGCTTCAGCTTCCAGCTGCGTCGCGTAGCATAGGTGATCGCGGTGAAATGCCCCCTATGACTGTACCCATTCTTTGGACGAAGTTCGCTGGGAGATGGGAGACGGATGAGGAGGATGATCTGGAACGTTGCTGCCACATTCCTTGGTCGTCTTCCTGGACATCGTCGTCGTCGTCTGAGCCGTGGTCGGACTTGGAGTCTGGATCGACGTCTGTCGAGTTCCCTGGAAAGAACGCGTTGCGGAGTGGGGAAGGTGGACGGGGTGATGGTGACCTTCCTCTAGAAGGCTAAGAGAAGGATGATTAATTAGTGGGATAGTCGCGATCTGATGTTATCCGAGACATACATTAGAAAGACAGCCAGCAGACATCCTTCGTTGATGTCGGCCATTCAAGCTCCACGGTACTGGTGCTGGGAGGTGAGAGTGGAACTATCATTCAGTCACTTGGAAAGGCCCCCATATGTGGGACCCAGTGGTGAGATATTGGCATGGGTGAGTCGACGTCGTTACTTTGTGTTGTCTGAAAGGTTCCGTTATGTTTTGACCTTTGCCTGGATTTGCTTCAAAGTTCAACCGCACCTGCTCATGTCAGTAAGCTTTATGCGCGAAAAATGCTCCACTTCGTACTCACGCGCTCGAACGAAGGACAAGGAGATGTCAAGAGCGTTCAGTCGAACGGAACGTGGGTCACACCTGGGTCACATTCATCTTCAAGGACACCATGACTCATTCCATCTCATAGTCGTAACTCCAGAGGGCTGATCTATAGTTGCAGTGTTCTTCGTGCCCAGTGCTAGTGAGGACGCACAGCAGTCTGACTAGTTCCGAGTGATATGCGACCGGAGATCATCTCAGGGTGAGTTCGTGCTTTCTCTTCTCTTCTTCTGGGATCTGAACCTGTTTCCACTCTAGCTTCCTGCGTCGGCGGACCATCGAAGTCGACAACTGTATCAGTTGTCCTTCCTTCCCCTTAATTTGCTCTCGCAGAGAACTGGCCCTATAACGCCGATTATTCTTCAGTCACCCTCCCGACGTGAACCATGCTCTTCCTTCCCCTAAGTAATGGCTTTTTCGCAGAGGACTCGCCCTATAACGCCGATTACGTTATACTCAGGTGTGCAAGAGGGTCGCCATCTTGTGGCCCACGCAACTGGATTCATTGCAGTTGCCATCCAGGCCGCTTAACCTTCAACCCTACGACCCACGGAAGTGCCATCGCATCTCCCAGACTCGTCAATGCCATGTCGCCCTAGATCTTTGACCTTCAGTACGCAAAAGTTTTAACGACCATCTTTAGCCGCCGCCTTTCCTACGTGTGCCAAGTAAACAACCAGGTTCTGAAACTTCCCCCTCTATCGTCATCGTGCCCTCTTTCTCGTTGTGGTCCGCTCGTGAAACCGAGAAGACACGGCGTATTTCAATGGAACGTCGCGATGGAAGGGGAGGAAGTGGGTTCTTCGACTAGGATGTGTGCGGATCGTTCTATAAGTACGCTTCTCTTCTCCCCTCCCTTTTTTACAAAAGACTTTGCTGACACCGGCATACAGACCTACAAAGTCCACCCCGTTCTCATTTGCTCATGTCCTCTTCGACTCTATTCCACAAGACAGGCAAGGGTTAGCGCTCACCGCTTTCTCCGACCTTCTTTTCCCCTTCTCATACTCGTGGCCAGCTCTGGGCTGCTGCACAAGATTCGTAATAGCTCGAAAGAAAGCCCTTGGTGGTTAACTCCGAGCGCATGGCCGAGCGGAGTATAGGCTAGTGCAGAATCCCGCCGTATGTGCTTCCTCGTTCTTACTTGGATGGAGGATAGCAGAGAGAGAAACGGTTTCGGGATATTGGGTGTGGCGATCAAGAGCGATGATTGTCCTTGTTGGTGGCGCTCTTTTTGCAGAGCCGCCACGCCCTGTGTCGTCCTTTCGACCGGGGTAAGCATTCGCTTCCCTCGTTGTTCGATCTTTCAGTATTCAACGTTCAATTTCCATCCCCTGTAGCCGCTACCTCCACCTCCGTTGGTGATCGATGGAGGATTCGACTAGCCGCTTACCCTTTCGGTTTGTGCGTGGAATTAAGAACGGCCGTTGACAAAACCTTGTGCTGTGGAGTTCCTATCTGCATGGTAAGTCTCTCGAATTAGTTCCTCGAAGATACGAACAACACCACCCCTTTGACAGAATGACTACCCTTATCAACGATCACGAAGAGCCTCCGGCTTGTTGAAACGACTTTTGACTGCAACTATCATCGTGATACTGGTGCCTTTCCTTTCAACTGGGCCATTCACGCTCGCAACGTGACTCTTCACCCTCCTGTGGTCCGTCTTCTTGGTTCTCCCTTTCTGTCCTTACTCATCCATCTTGTCACGGTGTCTGCTCTCAGCCGGTCACAATTTACTCTCTCTCCGTTTGTAGGGTATGGAAGTTTCCAACTTGGGTTAGCGTTTATTCGGGAGGTCGTAAAACAACTTACTGTGCAGAATCTACGCAGAAAGACCCATGGGCCATCTGTAGCATGCCGTATCGTGTACAACTCCCGCGCTACATACAAAACATGAAATTCTGTTTCCGCGACAGAGGTTATATGAAACTTGTAGGAGTAGGAAGTAATAGCAAATCAGTCAAACGTCTTGGCTTTGCCGACGTTGAAGCTTCAGAGTCGCGTGTCAAACCAGAGACTGGGGCTTGCAGCCAAAAAAACCACTACACCATCGAATACCGCTACCAAGATCTAGGCTGTACCAGACGTTACGCCCCTTCTCCTTCCCGTGGAGCAAAAGCAGAGCATACATACGCACCCCAAGCAAACCTGTGGACAATTGTCGTGAGCACTAACCCGACGCATGCGAAGCATCCAACTATGACCGACCTATGCGCAATAGCCACGCCTCCCCATCCTCCATGGAAGTCGGCGTCCGCGCGAGAAGAGACGACGACCCTCCGATGAGTATGGTGTTTTTCACCCTAGGGCCTTGCCCTTGGTAGTTCGTTATTGGCCGGAGAAACTATTGAAAAAGAAGGCAGGTGTCAGTACCCATCGTCGTCGGCCACGCGTAATCCAAACTTACTGAAGCCAATCAGCGGTGGGTACATCCGTGTGTGACGTTGCGGCAGCCCGTGGCGGCGACGAGCTGCGGATGGATACGCACGATGAAGAATCTATGCGGTGTGAACGCCGAGTTCAGAGGTGATGATTGCTGGTATCACAGGCGGAGATTGGGGCCATTGAGTGGCATACCGTGTATGCCACGACACACAGAGCGTCGGGATGAGGTAACCGAAAAGCTCTGAGTACTGCGCGAGCATTTGGAGGGTGAATGACTGAAGGCCACATAGCTGGGCGCAATCGATGAGACGATCGATGTGTGAGGGGTCTGCCTGCGGCCACTGGCAAAGATTCGATGTTCGACCAATGAGCTCAGTATGGAGGCAAGTTCGTTAACAGGATTAGACAATGACGAAATTTCCTTCGTGAATCGATGCACGAGGGAATGAAGTGGCCGGGTCGTGCGGGTCATGGTGGAGGAAAGACGGTACAAGCATCGAAGTAGGGCTTGCGTTGGGGTTATGAAACCAGAACCTGAGTAACGAACGGGGGAGTTAGCGAACGAAATATCCAATATATGCGAGGTGAAAAGGCATCCAGAGATCGAGGGAGGGATAAGGGTAGGAATGAATAAGGGCGCCGACTTACCAAAGGAGAAATGACCATTATCCCTACTTTCCAGCTCTCCGACTGAGGCTTGCGCTTATGACCAGGTGGACGGCAGTAACCTAGTATGCTATCTTGGAGCTTATCGAAAGAGTATTACCGTCGTCGAGGTGGGCATCGTTAGAAACGCCACGTCTGCAATGGAAAGGCCGTTCAGGGCAGGCGTTGTCGACTTGTAGGAAAGAAATGCTGACGACCAATCCGAGCTAACCAAGTCTCCTCCGTGTTATGCAAAGTGGCTTCGAGCGGGTTACCGGGTGGTAGTCTAAAGATGGAATTGAAGTTAAAAAAGTCGATTGCAATCCTGTTGATAGCATAAACATCCAGTAAACGTTCCAATTTCAGAGTTTCAATTAGCGTACCCAAGTCGTACCAGTAGAGATCTGTGGTTTGCGGTCTTGTACGCATGGCGCTCGTAAACGAAATTAACAGGACCGGAACTGTCACAGAATTGTCAGCATATTAGACTGACGTGGGCAGACGGAAGAAGAGGGGTATGGTTGCGGCACAGAAGGGGAAAACGAGCTAAGGTAGAAAGGGGAGTAAATCTAACGGAAGGAGGATCTCACTCAGAGCCGATTCACTCGAACATCTTTAGCGCATTGCTTTGAATCTCAACAGCTCCCCGCTCTCTGTGGATCGGTACAAGTTGACGAAGGCGGTTATCGGGTTTCATTTTGATCACAGCGGGAGGTCGGGTCTCCAGGCGATGTCGCGACGGGAAGCTGGCCAAACAAAGAAAACATCGACTTGACAAGAACGATTTTGCAAGTAGCAGGGCCCATAGGTGGGTCGCAAGGTAATGAAAGAAAAGGGTGTGTTTAGTCGTCTTTCGCACAGCCACACGCAAAACAAGCACGACCGTGACCACGCATCTTCCTTTCGTTCGTCCCTTGGAGTTTCAATTTCCCTCAGTCTTGAGAGGCGTTCGTCGTTTTGCTTCTCTGGCACACTTTTCAGTTGGCCACCATCCTTGTGACCTGACTTGACGCCGAACCACTGTGGGAGGCAAGTGGGAGGGACCTCAATCAGGAACGTCAGCTGACGGTGTGAAACGGTCCGTTACCCATTTTGAAGATTGACGCCGCACAGCATCGATTCTCTCTTCTGAACCATCATGTCTGATCCTAGTAACCCCCGCGAAAATCGTTTGAAACGCAAGCTCGAGGAATTGCCCGGCACAATCGCTGACCACCCACGCAATAAACGCTATGGTAGTTTGAGGTTAGAGGTCATGATCTCGCGCTACTAGATAAATATTAACGTGAATCTGTCAGCCCCAGCTCTGCCCCGCCTATGTTGATAACTCCATCTTCAACCATCAGTGCAGCGGACGTAGCCATGGCAGGCAGCAGTAAGATACATTTTAATCTTCCTGCGTCGAAGTGAGCATTGATTGCTCATCAAATCAAATTTCCAGGTGATCAGGTTGATGTTTCCGGGGGTGGAGCGCTCGAGCGCTCGCAACAAGTTTTACCTATCTCCAGTGGGTGGTCCTGCATTACATAACCCCAAACCTCTATCATTCATTGTTGGTAACACTGATATAGATATCATGAGCTCTTACCTGCCTACCACTCCATCAATCACCCCTGTTCCCGAAATGACTGTTGCCTGTGAGATACCCCTCAATCTCTTTGCCATAAAGTTCATACTAACCTTCATTAATTCTTATCTCACAGTTGATCAGATTGAAGGTCCTGTGCAAGGAGCTGCTGATTCCTTGCAACACCCTTCTCCTATCTTGACAGGTTCATGCTTGCTTCAAATCTCTATATTCTATTTCTGATAACACTGATTAGATTTGCTAGGTTCTGGCATGCCTATCTCACTATTCATTTCTTCTGCATTGAATGCAGAACTGATACCAACCGGTCAGTACTCTTATAAATATAGTTCAGGCTTGCTTAAAAGTGACAGACCATGCAGAGTTCTCAACAAACATTCAAGCTGACATTATAAACAACATTTCAGCTCAAAATGTGATTGCAGGCCCTAACCATGGTTTGTTGTATCTGGATCATCACATTTTATTGTTTTTGCTTATATTCAAATAGGTATCATCAATCAAGGTAAGTAGTAAGAAAAGCATCATATTCATCTTAATGTTATTTGTGATTGGTAGGTGTGGACCCAAATATTCGAATCACACTTGAGATGATTAGGGATGACCAACTGGGTATTATTGTAGGTTCTTGTTGTGAATGTGTAGTTGACTTCATTTTTCTGTTACAGTGGAGAAGATTTATAACTGGCTTTGTCCACCCAAGGAGTCTATTAACTACAATGCTGCACATGCAATTCTGGAGAGTCAACCAGACACCTGTCAATGGTTTCTCAAAGGAAATACATTTTATGGGTGGCTCAAACAGCCTGGCTTTCTCTGGATCAAAGGAAAATGTAAGTTTTCTGTCAAAATTGATAAATTTATACATTATTGATGGTCTATCCAGCTGGCTCTGGGAAAACCATTTTAAGGTTGATTACTTCAACATTTTTATGAAATTAAATTAAATTTTCTCTTTACAGCTCAGCAATAATTCACAATATTCTTGAGAGATTTAATTCTGCTACTGCATATTTCTTTTTTGATGGGAGAGACTTACAGAAGGATTTCCAGCTGCATGATAAACTACTGCGATCACTCATCTGGCAATTCTCTCTGAAGTGTGAGGGTAGACTGCCTAAAGTCTTAGTGAATCTGTATGCTGGCTGTGGCAATGGCCATAAAGAGCCAACTCTGGTTGATCTGCAGAATACTCTTCACATAATTCTTGATGGCTTTAGCTCAACATTCATCATTCTGGATGCTCTTGATGAATGTACTGAAAGAGAAAAACTTCTTAACTGGATTCAGACTTTTATTCTGGAGAAAAATAAAAATCTTGGGCTCCACTTGTTAGTTACTAGCCGCCCAGAACAGGAGATTGAGGACAAGTTCAAGTCTTCTCATTATATTGACTTGGTTAAGGAATCTGAGAATCATGATCTTGTAGCCTACCTTGACTATCAGCTTCAGAATGACTCTGACTTGCAAAAATGGGACTCTGACACTCAAGAGAAAATCAAGTTGAAGTTAATGGAACAAGCAGGTGGAATGTATGTTTATTATCAACATTTGAATAACTGAATGATTATTAAATACAATTTTAGGTTTCGTTGGGTTGCATTACAGTTAAATGAGCTGAAAAAGTGCTGGACCAAGGCTGATCTCAAGAAGCAGCTAGCTAATCTACCCCAGGGTTTAGATAAAACCTATGACAAAATCTTGCTGGGAATCAATGAAAAAGCTCATTGCTATGCTAAAACCTTTCTACAGTGGCTGTCATTTGCTGTTCGTCCACTGAGACTAGAAGAGTTGGCTGCAACTGCTTCTATTGATCTTTCTGCTGAGAATGGACCAGAGTACAACTCTGATAATGAACTTCAAGATGTGGAGGATGTCTTGAAAATATGTTCTAGTTTTATTATGAAATCAGAAGGTGTGTTTAGAAGAATAACAGATTGAAATGGGCACTGACTATTAGATAGGCTTCATCAAGCTTTCCCACTTTTCTGTCAAGGAATATCTAATATCCTGGTATATTCAAAGCCATCATGTGAAGCAAGTCAGATACTTCAGTTTCAGTGAGGAGCTATCACACTCTGTCATATCTCAAATCTGTCTGGCCTATCTTCTGCAATTCAATACATCTGAGCCACTTGATATCAATCTGGATCTATCTTCCCCTCTTGCAAAATATGCTGCAGAACACTGGATCACACATGCACATTCTGGTTGCCAGTCATCTTCAATATTTGCATTGATTATGAAGCTTCTGACAGATGAAGACAATGCTTTTGTGAACTGGGTTCGAATTTATGATATAGATACATATGAAATGGATCTACAAAAACATAGGGATGAAATTGATAATCCACTATATTATGCATCACTGGAGGCAACTGAAGAATCAAAGTTTTCATAGAAAGGGAGCAGATGTAAATGCACAGGGAGGATACTATGGAAATGCACTCCAGGCAGCGTCATATGGAGGCCATGAGGCAATTACAAAGCTGCTCATAGACAAGGGAGCAGATGTACATGCACAGGGAGGACACTATGGAAATGCACTCCAGGCAGCGTCATATGGAGGCTATGAGGCAATTACAAAGCTGCTCATAGACAAGGGAGCAGATGTACATGCACAGGGAGGACACTATGGAAATGCACTCCAGGCAGCGTCATATGGAGGCCATGAGGCAATTGCAAAGCTGCTCATAGACAAGGGAGCAGATGTAAATGCACAGGGAGGAGAGTATGGAAATGCACTCCAGGCAGCATCATATGGAGGCCATAAGGCAATTGCAAAGCTGCTCATAGACAGGGGAGCAGATGTACATGCACAGGGAGGAGTGTATGAAAATGCACTCCAGGCAGCATCATATGGAGGCCATGAGGCAATTGCAAAGCTGCTCATAGACAAGGGAGCAGATGTACATGCACAGGGAGGAGAGTATGGAAATGCACTCCAGGCAGCATCATATGGAGGCCATAAGGCAATTGCAAAGCTGCTCATAAACAAGGGAACAGATGTAAATGCACAGGGAGGATTCTTTGGAAATGCACTCCAGGCAGCATCATATGGAGGCCATAAGGCAATTGCAAAGCTGCTCATAGACGGGGAGCAGATCTACATGCACAGGGAGGAGAGTATGGAAATGCACTCCAGGCAGCATCATATGGAGGCCATGAGGCAATTGCAAAGCTGCTCATAGACAAGGGAGCAGATCTACATGCACAGGGAGGAGTGTATGGAAATGCACTCCAGGCAGCATCATATGGAGGCCATAAGGCAATTGCAAAGCTGCTCATAGACAAGGGAGCAGATGTAAATGCACAGGGAGGAGTCTATGGAAATGCACTCCAGGCAGCATCATATGGAGGCCATAAGGCAATTGCAAAGCTGCTCATAGACAGGGGAGCAGATCTACATGCACAGGGAGGAGTCTATGGAAATGCACTCCAGGCAGCATCATATGGAGGCCATGAGGCAATTGCAAAGCTGCTCATAGACAGGGGAGCAGATGTAAATGCACAGGGAGGACACTATGGAAATGCACTCCAGGCAGCATCATATGGAGGCCATAAGGCAATTGCAAAGCTGCTCATAGACGAGGGAGCAGATCTACATGCACAGGGAGGACACTATGGAAATGCACTCCAGGCAGCATTATGTGGAGGCCATAAGGCAATTGCAAAGCTACTTGTAGAGAATGGAGCAGATGTAAACTGTCAGATGCACCCAGAGTATTAGAAAACAGGCTATCATTTACAACATGGAGTAGTGAACATTTCATAGAGGATCTGGATGATACTGAAACAGATATTTTTGATGCTTGATAATTTCAACAAGTGTCAAGGTACT